TTTTATTCTATTATTATTATACTTACTATTATGGTGGTTATTTTTTTTATTATCGTTGTGTGTGTGTGTGTGTGTATGTGTGTGTGAAAACTTTCATCGAAGCCGATTTTATGATATACGTTACAGCAATTTCGTGAGCGTTCATGAAGTACTGAAATCTTTTAAGCCGTCTTACGTAGCACCGCTGTAATATATTATAATATAACAGGTCGTAAATTTCCTTAACTATCCTCGTATGACGTGCGGCTTAAAGTCTTCTGACCTTAGTCACTGGAAACTCCCTCTTAGTTGTGTCATAGACAAAATAAAAAAATATATAAATAAACTACAATTCCATTTTCAAAAAAAAAAAATTCAAAGGCACACAGCAGACATCTCAGGTGTTTACATCTGTTGATAGAAGGATTTGTCAAGTATTCTTTTGAGGACAACTCTCCCCTATGTTTAAACACAAAATTAAGAGGCTGCCTGCAAACAGTATCGTTACTACAGAAAAAAATAAAAAAAATAAAAGGGTGACGGCGGCAAAGTATCTGTTACCCGTAATATTCAAAAGCAAAGGCGAAAGAACGAAATTGAATATTAAATGAAATAATTTATGCCATATTTATCATTATGCGAAACGAACCTCACCTTAATGAAAACGTTAAATGAGATTCTTTAGAAAAAAAAAATTAAGCAAGTCGAAATAGATCATATATTTTTTATGTGAAATAAATTAGAATAATCTATAATCAAGAGAACGGAATATAATATGTTCAACAAAAATATTTTAACCCCATTTGAATTTCCTTGAAAACCTCATAATACTTTTTCCTTTGATTTAAATTCATGAATAAGTTTTTAGTATACGTCAAATTTACTTTTCCCGCCGGAATTAACAGATCAAACAAAAATACATCAAGTCATAAAGAAGTCTATATATTATCTGTGATAGCTCATTACAGATTAAGCTCATTAGGCATTACTTAATAACATCAGCGGCTCAATAATTTCACTTGATTAGTATACCGATATATCTAGATTGGGTGTTATATCTAAGGCTGCGTTCACATTACCGGCTGGCATGCGTCCGTTAGTATATGCAGATGTTTGGCTGCGTCCACATTAACGCCGGCCGGCCGTAAATCACGCGGGATCAGGCTATCAGTGACGCCGACCCGCGTCGACAGCGTCCAATGACATGTCACTCTGTAATGAATCACTGTTTACAGATACGATTACGTTTTAAACGGACATGAACTTGAAATTTGAAGTATCTAAAACGGTTTTGGAATCAGTTATATTTCTATATGAATAGAACTTTGTTAAGAACTTAATATGCCATAATAAGCTAATTTAGATCACGTGAAGTGTATTTATAGTATGCGGTAAACAGGCTTTTTCATAAATGTGGAAAAAAAATATAGATAAAAAATTAAATAAAACATCAAGCAGGTAGAAGTGCGGACGGGGAGGGATCTTCGTTAAGGTTTAATTAAATCGTCCTCAGCGGCCTCTCGCGTTTTAATTCCACCGTTATTAACGCTGTTAAAAACTGAGCAATTAGGACAAGCCGTGGCGTGGAGACGTACAGAAATAACATTCGCGTACTAAATTTTATTATTATTATTATATATAAAATAATATATCATTTTGTAAAGTTTGATATATGTTCTGATTAGAATGTATGTTTCAAATTTGATGCATACGTCAATTGTGAAAGATAATTAATTTTGACAGCTGTCATTTTAAATACGTAATATTTTTGTTTTTTTTTTTTTTTTTTTTTTTTAATCTGTAACCGACGGCTCCTCAGGTTATCTGTGTGCGGTGACGTAGCAGACGAGTGGTCGCGGTGTTTCCGCAGAGCATCAACGATAAGACGCAGCCTCCCTCCCCCGGGTCTCCATTGCATCCCACTGTTTCAATTTTAATATTACACTTAAGTGTTGTTCTAAAGACGTCGCCGGTTAAGTACTAATTTGTCCAAACTTGAAACGGCTATACCATTAATACGTCTCTTTAGCTCAGCTTAGCTTCTCTTATTAAACTGTTTTCTACATCCAGATGTAATTGATTATTCTTAATCAGGGGAAATGAAGCAAAATCTTGATATAACGACGGAACTTTACAAACGTTTCTAATGTTTGTTATAAAATTAAATTTCTATGCTTTTTTCATGTCATAAAAAATGTTCTTTTAATCTGATATGTAGTATTTTGAAGTTCCTAGTTGAAAATATCAGGATATCATTTCGGAATCAGATTCCACTAACCTCGTTTTCAATTGGTCTAAACGTGAGAGAAAAACATTTGATTATAACCATGTGTTTTTAATATATACCAGATTGTCGCTTAAATGTCTTAACGCCCAGAAGAATTTGTAATCTACTACGGAAAAAAGCAGCACATTTATTACATCAATTTCTAATATTTTAAACAGTGCAGGTGGGCGTATATGTAATTTTTTGTAAATATATGATTTTTAAGTGGAAATATTTAATGTTATATTACTATGACCTACCAAGATCTATCTTAAACAAAAAATAGAGTTTTTGTTTGATACAAGTTTTCCGTCTTTTTTAAACCGCAAAAGATCAAAGTACAATGGGTACATGATTCTGGAGTGCCCTAAGATAAAATTAAAAATATCGCTACAAATTAGATATCCAATTGTATATCAATTTTAACAAATATCCAAAGATATATCTTATATAAAAAAATCACTTCATTTTGGGAAAAGTTATTACACCATCTATTAAGTTCTGAACGATGATAATTCTAATGAATACAAGCAATTTAAAAGAAAAGCGACACGGTGAAAAAACATTAGTGATAGATGAAAGGGCCGTTTATAGTTTGTCATCAATAAATCTAAATTGAATTGTTCTTGACTGTACACACTTTACAAAGTAGGTATACCTAAAAAATTACTGAAATACTGGCTACTTTGCGCTGATATTCTAGGCTGATTAGATTGGTATCAGCGAAATCATAGTCAACAAAAGTCCTTTATGCAGATTTCTTTATGGAGCCAACAGTAGTGATGTAGTGAGATAGAATTTTCCAGCGGCTGCCCACATATGACAATAGTATTTTAATACAAGACCAACCCTTTACTTTGTTTAACAAACGGGCTGTCACTTTGCAAAGTACGCTAAACTGCTGCAGGCATGTTTATTCTCTGTTGTCTTGGCTTTGTATTCAATGAAACGCATAATTTAACGTTCAAGGATACTTCGATATGTAATAAATGAAGGCGGTTGAAGTATTCCAAGAATAAACTCTGAAAAGTTGGAGTCAAGGGGAACCAACTTGCGGACGGAGTGGTTGAAGGACACGCTTGCCTCTTTTTGATTTTTTTTTAAGTTACTACACTGCACTTGATTCTTGAAGACTGCCTAAAGTGTGAAATTAACAGTTTGACCATGGTCTCTCTTTCCAACTCTATTTAATCCTGGTTGGCCGCAAGATTTAATTGATAATACACCACAATTGTGCGTCATATGTGTAACCAAAAAATACCCAGTAAAATCAGATCCTTAATGTGCATTAAAAATAGAATTGGGATAGGACAGACCCCTGGAGAACCCCTTCGTTGTCAACTCAGTCGAGCATTAAAAACTAGACATAGATATTGTCCTTCAAAAGTCATAAATGTATGTGATTAGACCTAGATATATGTTACAGCTATAAAGCTTGCCAATAAACCAAGTGGACAAAACCTCTAAAAAGATTTTGATACATCAAGTGAAACTGTTAGAGCTTACTGTTCTTTTCTTGTACTAACAGATTCAAAGTGGACTGAGTCCGGTAGATGAAAAGATCATTTTGGTACATATATTAATTTAAAGAAGTACTGTCGAATTACTGAAGCATTTTCAAAGCATAATCTCGATTAAATAAATTGACATTTCATATCCCGCATTAACAAAAACTTTAAAAGCAGAGTTTTCAGTTCTTCCACTGTTATATCGCTACGCCACTATATGGTTCGTCACACCTAGCTACATGGTGTTCCAAACATTAATTAACGGTCCGCGGTTTCAACCAAAACCAGTCTGCAACAACGAACGTTGATTCTGCGGCACATGTGGCAAAAACACGGCCACTTCGGATTACTGAACAAAACACTAACAAATTAAGCTTAAAGAACAATATGTAAAGTTAAAAAGGAACTACATGTAAGTATAAATAATAAAAACATTTGAAAATATAATGTAAACTGAACTGTGTGGAAAAATAAAATAATGTAGGAAAATGTCTACATATGAATCTATAGTTTTTTTTTAATTTTAAAAGTTATCATTAGAATCACAAATTTTTAATTGTTAAAATAAATACAATTCACAAGCCACTGCTTGGTTAACTTCTAAAATGAGTTACATATACATAACGTCGCAATGTAGCAATCAACGCCATCTCTTGCATGTATTTTGAATAACTTAAAGTTGGATAAAATAAGAAACAAATATAAACATAATTTAATGATTTGGTATAAAAATATTTTTATATTATATAATATGAATATAACTTTCGATTACAATAACTAGGTTTGAATTTATTATAATCTATAACTTTTATAACAAAGCAGTGAAAATATTTATTATCTATGCTTAATCGTAATTTTAATCGAGTGATAATTTAAGTCTTAACTTAATACAATTAAGGTACAATGTAGTTCAAGTGCTAGGAGTTAACTGCGGCTTAATGTCAACAGACAACAATCAACATGGTGCTGTCAGTTGTCAAAATTGCGTGGTCGGTGATGTCTATAAAGAGATAACTAAAAACTGATGTAATAGTGAAAAGTGAACGAAGCGGTATGTTCATGCATGATGCACAATACTCAAACATTTTTTTGTCCGCTAGTAGACATGCGATTACCTGTAATAATATTTACGTTGACAGCCATATTGAGAAAATTATTTCCTTGACTGTCTGCGACGTGAATAAATGTGCAATGGGCTCGTGAATTTTTCTACGTAAATACGCATTTTATGGACTTTTGACAAAATAATGGCAGGGTCTACATTACCCGAAAAGGTTGCGCAAATATATTACACGTATGGTCTTTTCTGCTCGTCTTACCCCGCGGTTGCGATCGCTCTAGCGCTCTCGGTCGTCTTATTCTGCTGGTTAGTAGTTTTTAACGATAAATAAACATTATTGTACTGTTGAAAAAACTATACGGAGTTTATTTTATCATATGTGATCCTTGTTTACAGCTATCCACTTCTAAATGTGCCATTACCAGGAAATATCCCAGTTGTAATTAATATACACAACAAGGATCAACACAAAGTGGTGGATTGTAATACAAATTGTGATTTTTCAGGTATTTATTCTTACTAGAATTTTTCCCATTACATTCAACAGTAGAAATAATTTTTACACTGGAGATTATCATTCAACAATAATGCTAACATTTTTGGTTTATGTATCCGATCATGCCCAGAACTTATAATTATTTTAAACCCACAGCTAAGATATTATAGAGGTATTAACTGACTAATATTTTTTGCAGCAACATCGCTACAATTACAGTTTTTGCATAATGAAACACAAAAACTTCCACATGTGTGGGTGAAAGATAAACCGCTACTTTATGTACACCAAATTATTATGAGAATAGGTAGGTGGAGTGACACATTCATAAGTATTTATGAATCACATTTTTATCTATGATAATCAAATTTAGAAAATATAATAACTCAATAGGTGTGTCGCCTTGGAATAACAATCTTAAAATGTGGGATGCTTTCCGAGCACCTCTTCAAGAGACATTTCGCTTACTCGAGGCTGTGAGGAACCACGAAGATCCAGAAACGTATGTAAAACAATTAAAAACTCACCTTTAACATTTAGACACTTAAAGCGACTTACTGCCTTAACAAAACATCAAATTCTTCTAGATATTTTCATTTTGGACCAAGTTTTCTCATTCTATTCTTAGGTTTATGTTGTAGTAATCTTATTTTTATAAGATGTTCCTATATAAAATCTTATAATTACTTCTGTATAATGATCTAAAAGAAAGAGAGGTCATAAAACAATTAGCCAAAACTATTCACAACATGTAAGGCCCTGGCTATAGCCAGGTAATTGCTAGGTAGAAGAAGTATGAACTAAAAAAAATATTTGGCTATACACTTAACTATAAAAAAATTCTTAAAATCTATATATAAGGCATATCAATATAGTAGATTATTTGATAAGCACCTGCATGACCATATAGTCAAAATTATTCACCAAATCTTACTACTGAGTCATAGTTAGGAAATACATAAAGTGATAACGGACCTCATTAGAGAAATTTGTTCTTGATAACAATGCTAATGCTATACTGTGTTTTATCTGTATCGAATGGTAATTATTGTGATGGTATTGACATCAATTAAATATATGTACATATATATATACTAGCTTTCCGCCCGCAGCTTCGCCCGCGTGGAGTTCGGTTATATCGCATTTCCAAGAGAACCTTTCAAAAGTCTGGGATAAAAACTATCCTTTGTTCTTTCTCGAGGTCAACTCTATCTCTGTACCAAATTTCATTAAAACCAGTTCAGTGGTTTAGGCGTGAAAGCGTAACAGACAGACAGACAAAGTTACTTTTGCATTTATAATATTAGTAGGGATATATAACTAATTTATATGCATTTTCTTTCTTAAATAATGTAAAAATTATCAAATCAAACTCTCTCTTAATAATTAATTGATAATAGATATCAACATGTTAATTATTTTCGACAGAAAAGAAACTCTATTACAACACTGCTACCAAGTGGAAGGTATAAAAAGATCTGATAAAGCCACTGTTGAGACGGTGCTGCCAGAATATAGCTGTCTCATTCTATCACCAGCTAATCTATGGCAACAGAATATAGATTCATTCTCACTCGATACCAATATAGTGAACACAGTTTATACATATCAGGTGAGTTGAAATTTAAATTATACTATTTACAAGCAGAATCTTTAGAAAGACTTTAAAATGTGAGAGGATTTAATATTATTATAAAATTACAAAGGATTCATCAGGAGTTCATTCATTTGATCTATGCTTTTGTTTAATCAGCATACAATTACAAAGACCTTTGAAAACCGTACCCATCAGTCTATTTATGAGGTGTTAGTTAATTTCTCAAGGATATTTTCATTAGATCTTAATTTGGCGATAATAGAACTACCTCAAGGCCCTTTTTTATTAATATTCTTAATTCTGCCTTTATTTGAGGGAGTAATGGAGTTAGAGTGTCTAAAGTTACTACTTTTGACATTACATAGAGTAAAAGTTCCCATAAAATCTGTGAAGTCATTCTAGATTAGTCAAAAAAAACATGCATACAGAAACAATTGAAAAAAATTGCAGCATTATAATGGTCTCATGTATACGTACTACTTGCGTTTAGTGGAAAAATACAAGTTTCAATAATATTTTTTTGATATAGATGTGACTGTTGATGGCCTTATATTTTACATTCTATTTATGTTTTTTAGGGACTTCAAAAAGGCAAGGTATCAATCGCTGAGATGGCTTTCGGCTTGCAACTGAGAGACACTGGCATCAAACGTTATCCATTGAGAGCGAGGCCAAGGGTCTTACAATACGCTGTAACACTCTTCTATCAACATGCTGATGAGAAGTACGTTTGTACCAAATATTGTTACACAAATGGTTAAATGATATCAAAATTGCACATAAAAACGTCCATTCATGGTCTCAAAAGTGTTATTTCTTAGAGTATATTCCATATATCGCCTATTGACATGATTAACTTCAATGATTTTCATAAAGAAGTAATATTTTTAGTACAAGGTCCCGCTGTCCTATTGACAATTATGGCCTCAGGGTAGGCAATTTTAAAGTAAAAGCCACCTAAACGAATTAGTTTCTTCAAAAGACGTGCAAAGAAAAGAATTTCAGCCAGGAAATATATTTCTGTCCCTAATCACTACAAGTCCAAGTTTAAGTTTTATATATATATATATATATATATATATATATATATATATATATATATATTTTAAAATTCTTAAAATTTAAATAATTTGGAGTTCACAAATAATAATGTTGACCACATATTCCACTCTCTAAATCTTTCAGTCTTCCATTTCGTTATATACAATCTAAAATACGCTTAATGTTCGAAACGAAATTTTTGAGAGGCTAGAATGTAATATTGGCCTCTTTTCGTCCTTATCGCAGCCAGAGTATATTTTGTCAATTAATGAGAACCCATTCATCTTCAGGTTCATCAATTCCCTGACAAAGAAGCTCCGCGACATGTATCCCCTGTACCAAGATACTTCCCAGGCCTACACTGACGAAATGACCCTCATATATTACCCGGGAAAGTTCAACTATCACGAACTGGTGCAGTTAATGATAACGTTCGTCGGTCTCTTTCTGTACGTTTATTTCTCGGTACGGAAGATAGAATTCATTAAGTCCAAACTGGGCTTAGCGGCGTGCGCTGTCCTCAGTATAGCCGGCAGTCTTACAATGTCAATGGGAATATGCTTCTTCTTCGGTTTCTCCTTGAGTTTGCAAGGGAAAGAAATCTTTCCATATCTGGTGATAATAGTCGGACTCGAGAACGTTCTGGTGCTAACGAAGAGCGTCACTTCTACAGATTCAAGATTGGACGTCAAAATACGTCTCGCCCAAGGACTAAGTAAAGAAGGATGGTCCATAACAAAAAATCTCCTCACAGAAATAACAATACTGACAGTCAGTTTCTTCACATTCGTGCCATTTATACAGGAATTCTCAATTTTCATGATAGTCAGCCTATTAACCGATTATTTCATACAAATGGTGTTCTTCGCGACTATCCTCGGTATAGACGTGCGCAGAATGGAGTTCTATCCCGAGCGTAATTCAAAATTGCACTTGAAGGACTATTTCAATTCGAACAACGCTCTCAACTGGCGTTTCCATAGAGGTTATTCAGATGATAATAATTCGCCTCAAAGAATGACGAAATCTAAATCCCATCCGCGGCTCAACGGGCTGGTTCAGACAAGTCCGACGGATGTGGTTGCCCAGCGTAACCAAAGCCCTGGTTGTCAAGACCACAGGGTTCCTAAACGTATATGGCTTGTGAACATGTGGGCTAGAACACGATTCTTCCAACGTGCGTTCATGGTTTGGATGCTAGTGTGGATATCTATGATAGTGTACGACTCCGGTGTTGTAGATTATTTCATAGGCAGTGTTGAGAACAGTGAGATTAACACGGTGCATAGAAAGAACATAAGGAATGAGCCCAAGCAGTCAGTGTATATGATATACAATAATGTTAATAATACGGGAAGACATCCTCTAGTTTTCTCACCGCTTCTTGATACTTCCGATACAGAGAAGATCGCAATAGCTGCTAACGAGACGATACTATTGAAACACTCGCCATTACATCGACCGTTTTCAAGGTAATCATGTTTATTTAAATCAAACCCAACACGCAATGTAACCAGTTCATATATTTACTATTATTATATGCAATAGCTAATCGTTAGAAAAAAAAATACTATGGATCAGATTTATATACATTTTCTTAGGACCTTCGTGATTTAAAAAGTACTATAAAAATGTGCTCCTCAGTATATCTGTTACGTCATTAATTTTATGAGTTTCACGATTTAATCGCCCATTTAAAACGCTGCACAATGAACAATTAATTCCCACAGGGCCAATCATTTTGTAAGCTATTAAAATTACTTGTATATATTTCCTTTAACACAAATAAAATTCTTAATACTACTGTATTAATTTGGAACACTATCGTAAGTTGTAAATCGGATGATGTCATTTATCAAAGAAAATGTTCCGTTACGGTTGATAACACAACGAAATTTATTATGCCTATAGTATTTCAAACAACCACACATACAATTCAAAATATCTGATATAATAAAGAATTAATCATTATACAGAGATAATGTGTTTATATATTACATAATAATCGAATTTTAAACATTCCAGGGTATCCCCGTACCATTGGTCCTCGATTCTGTCTCAGTATAATGAGTCGGTTGCGGGTAGATACGTGGCTATACTACCGCCTGTGCTAGTTAGTCATCGAGTTGGACCAGAAGTAGCGGTCGGCTTGAGGCATCCCGATGAAAAGGATCCGCCTCCATTAAGATGGCAGGCTCTGGCTGCTGCCTTGGATCCCATAGATACATTACCAGGTGATCTATCTTTATATATATAATTCTTCTGTGAGTGTGTATGTCACTGAACTTCTCTCAAACGACTGGATCGATTTTTATGAAATTTTTTGTGTGTGTTCAAGGGGATCTGGGAATGGTTTAGATTCCCAATTTTGTCCGCTGGACAATGTTTTTTTAATTAATTTTTAATTTATAAGTAGTTGTTGATACAAACTTTTTTTTACATTAGATTTGACAACTAACTAATATGTCAATCATTCTGACGCACTTCAAAATGTCTTCATTTCAGCATCAGTCAATCAATCAATATTATCTCAATTGTACTAACGATTCAAAAACATCACCTTATTATAAATGTTGCTTTAAGAATTCAAATAGCCTGTTGCGTGTTCATGCGACGTTGGAATTTTAATTTGTATTATAATCGGAAAAATACTATAACAATATATAAATTCTAAGTTTGTACGTGTTAATGTTAATTAATTACTTTGTAGAGATAGAAAAGATTATTTAAAAGAAATATGTTGAGGAACACTATATTTGTAAGCTTATATATAGATTCTATTACAAGAATTGAGGACAAGGGTAGGGAAGTCATGAATAAAAACTAGTCTTAACATAAAATACTTCTATTTATTTATTTAAATAATAAATAATTTTCTTATGTTTAAATTACAACCTAAAATTAATATGCGGATTTCTTTTATTGCTCTAGTATGCAAATTAATATGAAATCTTGTATAAATTATGATGAAGTGAGAAAAAAACGATACTATTTAGCAATCAATACAATCCTAATGCATATTGATATTTTTATGTCTGTTATTCAGTTTGTAAGTCACTTTTATAATGGGAAAGTCATTATCCTTTCGTACCCTTAACATACACGGTAATATTTATAAATGAATCATTGAAACATAGTATAAAAATTATATGACAGAAGTGTTAATTTCTGTGTAATGTTGTGTAGTTCCAAGTGATTATTTTTAATTGGCTGCAAATATAAATATTTTTATATTTTCTCATATAATAATAAATATCTATTCACGTGTAGTTCTAAACGAATGAAACTGAAACAATAGAGGTTCTGCGATTTCTTTGAACGAATTCAATGGAGTCAATTAAAATTGTGCATAATAAAATTAATATTAAACAAGTTTAGTGAAGGTTTGAAATACATATAAATCCTTTTTAGTCAAATACTGTTGTAATGTATCCTTTTTAGTCAAATACTGTTGTTGTACTTGTTTGTACCTAGTTAAATTAAGTTTAAAAATATATAGTATTGTTTATTTACAAGTATTTAATTCATATTATAAAATACTTAAAATCAGATTCAGTCATCATACTTAAAATTTATTACATAATACAACATAATTTTCATTATATTAATTTTTATTTTTAGAATTTGACCTCAAAGACGGTAAAGCACAGGCACATCAATTGGGTCAAGGTGCTGATTTACCCATTTACCCTACAACACCCATGGAAATACTGCTTCTAGCCATACTCTGTACCATAAGCGTGGCTGTCATAGCATACATGATGGTAGTACTATACAGGTAAAAATCCATACAATTCAATACACACAATAGTATAATTGTTAACACAATAAGTATTATTTTATGATATTTTTTTACAGATGCGTTTGTTCGCGCCACTACGCAGAATGGAGGGCGTCCTGGAACGATGATAATCTCCATAATAAGACAATAGCCAAACAGCCGGCTGTACAGGTATCTATTATCTATGCTTTATAAGAAGGCAGCCAATGAAACAAGATAAATTATGTAAACAAGCAGCTATACGTTTTATTTGATTATTCAGTATATTAAATTGTAAAACGATATAGATTATATTTAAATCAAAAAGATTTACATTGCTATTTACTAGTGATTTTTATAAATAAATTCTATACAAAGTTTATATGAAAATACTGTTCGCGGAGTGTATTAATCTATTTTGTTAACTTATGCAAAGAATAGATCTAATTTGAAGTGTACCAAATATATGCCAAGTTATGATAATCCACTATTAAGTTACGACTCTATTGGCTTGATAATAAAGCATATATTAGCCAAAGTTATCAATAATTCCAGCTAGTGATGGAAGCTGTTCCATTGGTGGTGGCTGGTCACAGTCAGGAGGTGGAGTGTCTGGTGACCGATGGGGAGAAGGTGGTCAGCTCCTGTCTTCAAGGAAATATACGAGTGTGGGACTCACTTAATGGAGATCTCATCACTAATATTGATAGAAGCGCGTGAGTAATCATTATTTAATAATTAGTAATAGCTTCCATATTAAATTACTAGCTGCCCGCGTGGAGTTCGGTTATATCGCGTCTCCAAGAGAATCTTTCAAAAGTCTGGCATAAAAATTATCCTATGATCTTTCTCAAGGTCAACTCTATCTCTGTACCAAATTTCATTAAAATTAGTTCAGTGGTTTAGGCGTGAAAGCGTTACAGACAGACAGAGTTACTTTCGCATTTATAATATTAGTAGGGATGTTAGAATAAATATATGATAAAAATTTACATTATGACTTTAGAAAACTCTTAGTAAATATTTGTTAGTTAATTATATTAGGTATATTTTTTTTATATTATAATTTTTGCAACTAGTTGACCTATCGTCTTTTAGGTTTGTAGTTATGACAATGTTGTCCGTACACATTTTGATATAATTTGAGTTTATTCTACTTGTTTTACTGACAGAAATATGGAAACCAAAAAATTTGTTAATGAAGTCAATAATAATCAATTATGTCTAACAAAAATCCATTATCAAGCATATGTGTTACTACCTTCATATTCTCCATACATGTATATAAAAAGAATATCTCATACTTTTGTTGATGGCATTATTAATTGACATCATAATATGACTTATTTATTTAGTAAAATATAAGTATTAAATGTCTTTGGTAATGTTTCAGATACTTCAAACTTCAATCGGAGTTGTTTGACAGAGTCAATAGTAAAGCCTCTGATGAGCATATTACTATTGAAGGTGAATATAATATTTATATACATATTTCTTATATGTATGCATATATTTATTCTTTATATGTATAACTTTAACATGTTTTTTTTCTTTCAGCATGCCATAGTCTCGAAGATGTCACCCAAAAACAAAATGTTAGTATCATTTTAGTTTTACCAAATTATTTTTTACTGGCTTTCCGCCCGCAGCTTCGCCCTCGTGGAGTTCGGTTATATCAAGTTTCAAAAAGAACCTTACAAAAGTCTGGTATAAAAACTATCCTATGTTCTTTCTCAAGGTCAACTCTATCTCTGTACCAAATTTAATTAAAATCAGTTAAGTGAAAGTGTAACAGACAGACAGACAGAGTTACTTTCGCATTTATAATATTAGTAGGGATTATTCATAATATGTTCTAATATTTACAGACCGGACCAAGATTGCGGCGACCTCTGTCTACACATTTGAGTAACTTACAGTTTAAACAGAACAACAGTACCGATTCAACTTATCTACCAGTATCCGAGAGCACTAAGTATGATTTCGCGAAAGCCTACAGAGATTTGTATCGCACTGAACAAGACATATACGATGTCAGTGATAATTACAGTGGTTTGATTAAAGACAACGAAGATATAAGTGCGGTGAAACCAAAAACCAAAAGTGCTGTGAATAGTGTTAGTATGGATTTTGTTAGGAGTGATGGGTCAGATAATACTGGTGCTTGTTGGAGAGGTCAAGTTCTTATGGACACTCCGGTGTGGTGTATGGACTTCTGTAATGATCTCATCATACTTGGCTGTGCCGATGGCAGGCTGGAATTTTGGGAGGCCAGTACTGGAAAATTGATGGTTAGATATATTAATATAAAAAAATATTCATATTGAATTTGTTAATTTAAATTATATTTTAACACTATTATTTTAAATAAGTTTTAATTTTTATCATAACTTATAACAGCTGACTTTATTTGGACCTTCTTTAGGAGTTGTTATATATAATATGTTATGTATATGTATGTGTCTGTATTTGAAAAAAATATGGATATTAAATTTGTTAATTTAATGAAAATTTTAACACTATTTAAATAATTTTTAATTTTTATCATCAGCTTAACTTGTTGGGTCTTACTTTAGGAGTTATTATGTATAACATGTTATGTATGTATGTGTGTCTGTATTTCAGTGCGTGTATCAATCATCAATGGCTGGTATAAGTCACGTTCGCGTATTATCTTCAGGCAGACGAGTCCTAGCAGCCAGTTTAACTGGACACCTCTCACTATTAAGACTAGATGCTTGCACTAGTTCGGGAGCCCACGTCGATTGGCGTTTCAGCACAGCTCATAGACGAAGTTAGTTTATATATAACGTAATAAAACACATATTTAATTGGTAATTTTATATATAATTGAGGAAATAATTACATTTCCAGCTCACAAAAGAACGGGTTCTGCTGAATTACTGAGAACAGGCAGCGGATTTAATGAAAACCGAAAGAGCTTTTCATACGACGCTGACAATAATAACGACGGTAATATTCAAATGTTCTTCACACTACCTTAATACAAGTGTCTTTATAATATTTATGATATTACTATCTCATATATGGAATATCATCATATACACACTTACACACACATACACATACATACTACACACTCATCTATACACTTCATGTAACTCATAGTTCATGACTTACATCCATAAATTATTTATAAGAAATATAATAAATATTTAGCAATTTTAAACATTACTTTATAATAAAAAATATATCAAAGCTAAATATAATTATTTCGATGCATCTGTTTATATATCCAGTAATTTCTTTTCTCATTTCCTCTATCAAATTATCAAATGTATTACTGGTAGAGATCTCTTTTAAGAAATAATAATCCTTTGTACATCGCATTTCTTTTATAATAATACTAGCTGCGCCCCGCGGTGTTACCCGCGGATTTCCGGGATGTAAAGTAGCCTATGCGTTATTCCTGGACTTCAGCTTCCTGTATACAACATTTCATCAAAATCGGTTCAGCCGTTTGAGCGTGAAGAAGTAACAAACATACACACACACTCACAAACTTTCGCAATTATAATATTAGTAGGATAACTAATACTTTGGTATTATATACACAAGTACTATGTATACTATGTATACTTTCCAGAAGTAGTTTGCGTCCGCGTGGCTCACTGTAGGGCGCACCAGCAGCCTATAACTGAACTACAATCTGAAGGAGGGCGTGTGTTGACTGGCGGACAAGACCACGTGCTCAAGGTACTAACAAAAGGTATCACACTAACATGGTGCAAACATACATACATATATACAAGGTCATTGACCCTGTTATTATCTTAATAAGTGACCTCTATGCAATTTCTTATAAACTTAATTATGTATTGACTGGTATGTACATATATAATTCTATATGCGAGAATTTTTTGTTCTTGTGAGTGCTATAATTTTTATATGTATATTGTGATATTTTTTTATATGTTTTTGTTATAAGGCAATGCAGATTTTTTAAATTGTTGTGTACTTTATTGCACCTATATACCTACATAAATCGTTTTGATTGCGAAATGCGATGATAAATACGATATGTATTTAATTTAAATTTCTTTATATAAATGTTAAATAATATTAAAATGAATATTGGATTATTGCTGCGATTATTATGCGAAAAAATATATTAAAAATGTATACTTTTGCGACGTCCATTATATTTTGAGCTATTTAAGCTTATTCTGCTAATGCGAAGAAAAAAGCGAATGGTTTCTTATAGAATAATGTGTGCGAAAAAAATATTAAATAATTATTACTCCTTATAAACCAATGAAATAAATTTTGTCTGAAAATTATGTTAAAACGCTATATGGAGTGTTAGTCACAATAATGGCTCTAATATTTAATTTATATTTTATACATGGATTAAAAATACTGCGAATGATTGAAAATTCATATAAATGCAGTTTTTTGCTATTAAAAGCGAAATAATATGATTGATATAAAAAATATATACGATTCACGCTTAGCGGTATCTCGTATCGTTTTATAAATGTCGTATGCTGTAAATGCATCCAAGTGTTTCTCATTCCAGGTGTTCTCAAGCTCGGAGCTGACGGCGTTGTTGACTCTTCACGGTCATTGCGGCCCTATAACCAGTTGTTTCATAGATCATGCGACGCCCACGATCGCCGGCAGTGGTTCCCAGGACGGGTTGCTATGCGTTTGGGATCTACATACAGGTTAATGTGACAAATATATATGACCTTGGATTGACATAGAAGTGACGTCATAAATATCAAACACTACAATTAAGGATATGAGATTTGTAGTTAATAAGTAATAATAAGTGGTAGTGGTGGCTAAAGGGGCGCCTCTCGTGCGTGAGCGCGGGTTCGAAACCTGGCAAGTATCAATGTGATTTTTCCGAGTCATATGTACTTTCTAAGAGTTTTTTACACTACTGACTAATGAAGGAAAACATTGTGAGGAAACCTGGACTTATGATATCAAATTATGAGTGTAATCACCAACCCGTCTTGAGTAAGCGTAGTGATTAATGCTCAAACCTTCTCCATGTGAGAAGAGGCTATGCTCAGCAGTGGGCTCTGATAGGCTGATGATGATGATATAGTAATTATATGACGTGTATCAGATGAACAAAGTTCTTGAATGTTCATTAAAGATAGTCTTACAATCAATGTCGGCGAATCCTACCTAGTGAGAGATCTTTAAGTCTTTTTCATTCGACACATGAGCACGCTTGAGGAACTTTTCTATTACGTTGCTAAACGTCGATATTACTTACTCTTGTATCAAATAGACGATTTCGATTTCATTTTCTTATTCTCTTTTAAAGAAGAAACTTTACATTTTCAATTTATATTTGTTTAGTTTTGAAAGTTCCGTAGCAAACCGTTCCGTTTCAAATAATAAGACTATTATTAGGATTTTTTCTTGTCGATCTGTCACACATGAACAACGATAGTTATATAGTTAAAATGTATGATGTATTTGTTTTGCCGATCTAACAACAAATTTAACAAATGCTTAAGATCGTTCCCAAACAAAATACTTAATTTCAGATCTGTTTTTAAGTCGATAATAAGTCCGTACTTATTACGTAGGTTAGTTAGGTTCCGTAACCCTTCACACGAATCCGACTAGAAATTGGCTGGTTTTTATTTGAATTGAGGTCAGGCATTTTTGTTTAACAAATAAAGTTGATATTGTCGGATACCAACAAAAAAAAAACAATTAATTTCGTTCATTCGGTGTAAGCAAAAGTAATTTGAATTCATAATAAAACTGTATTGCTATTTGTCAGAAGACATTACTTTTTTTTAACCATTAAATATTCCATTTTTGAAAATTTTCTAATAATTTGCATCCAAACATATCAGACAAATCGCAGCACATCGCCCATCTAACACATTCGAAAACATTAAACTGAATTATTTAAAGATTTTTTTAATTACGATGAGATATTTGTCTTATATAACACTTATTAAAGTGTTCAAAAAATTTAATTTTGTTCAAAATCATATTCTATTTAATCGGAATTATTTATTTTCTTGTAAAAGTAAACTGAGTGGGACCTCTTGAAATGATGTTTACAAAAAATCTCGAATGTTCTGTAACATGATTTTAAAGTATCGATCTAATTAAAGTGAATAAAACCGAAAAATAATGTACATATGACCGTCGTCTTCATCTTATTGGTCCCCACTGAACAAAGGTCTCTTCTCATATGGCGAAGGTTCGAACATTATTCACCACGCTTGCTCAAGACGGGTTGGTGAATTCAAACTTATAATTTGAAATTATAAGTTCAGGTTTCCTTGCGATGTTTTCCTTCACCGCCAATTAGTGGTGTGCATATACTCTTAAAAAGTACATAAATCGGAAGAAATCGTATTGGTACAAAAAAGGTCGCTATATCTGAAGGAATATCTTACGAAAATATGCATTAAATTCAAGGGAACTAAACTTAAGGTCGCTATAACAAAAATATCATTAAAACTGAGGTTATAAATAAAATCCACTGTTTTTCCTTAAATTAAAGTTCATTTGAAAATAAAATGTTAGATAACGGAGATCTTTTTGACGATCTTTAAAATTTATATCTGCTTTAGAAACGAATATAATAGATTTTAAGCGCTTTACGCGCTTTTGCTAGTTAAAACTTTAATAACTTTATAATAAATTTATTTATTTATTTTACATTGAGGCCAAAGGCTAATGAAATTAAATTTAAAAAATAAATCTATGCTTTGAAGCTCTTACAACTTTAAACTATTTCACTGAAATAAATTACAAATACCCATTTATTTATTTTTTTACTCTATAAATACATTGAGTACTCAGGTCGTTAATGTGGGTCTGATTTAGATATTTATTAATTTGTCATATTATTTAATCTACTTAAATACTTACATGAAAACAATACATTTCTCAAAACCCAAATTAATAGTCCTTATACAGGGTGACTGGTGAATTACTATCAATATTTAAGGAGCATACTCGGTACATGATTCTTATTCGAATTATGTAAAAAAAATAGGTACTTAATTTTTGACCAAATTTCCGTATAAATAAATAAAGTGTGTACACGTTCCAAGTGTTCCGAGTGTGGGCGCGTGCGGCGGCGTGCTGATACAACACTACGCCGCCGCCGCGTCTGTGTGAGTGTGTGTGTATACCTAATCTGTAGGGTGTTCACACGATGCGTAATTAATTACATAACTTTTGGTTAACTTTACTTGGAAGTTTATTAATATTTATGTTATATTAATTTTTATTTCGTCATATATGATCGTCAAATATCACGTCCTCAAATATCGATAGTAATTCACCAGTCACCCTGTATAACAAGAATATTATTCATTCTTGTGAACAAAAATGATTTTTTTTGTAAATCACAACTATATTTACTTTTCTGTAATTGATGAATTTCCATAATTATGAATATATGGACATTATAATTTAAGTTCTTTCATGTAAAAAATGTATATACCGATTACAAAATCACAATGTTGTTTAAAAATAGGGTATAAAAACTCACATATATACATATCTTATATATAAAATTCTCGTGTCGGGGTGTTTGACAGAGAACTCCACCGAAACGACTGGACCTTTTTTGATAACGTTTTGTGAGCATATTGAGTAGGTCTGAGAATCGACTAACATAAATTTTTCATACCCCTAAGTCATAAGGGTTGTTCACGCTTAAATAATTTTTTTTGCTCGGATTTATCACCAACCCCTATTATTTATATGGCAAAACAACGTTTGCCGGGTCAGCTAGTTTTATATAAATGGTTATTATACACACATTTTTTGACAAGCTGACTGCATCCAATGGTAATTCTCAGTCCCGCTGGGAATGTGCCAACACGCGGGCATATTGAGTGTCATGAGAGCTTTTCAAGTTACTGCAATTAATAGTAATGATTGGGTGTCCCAGACACCTCTCCTATACCCTGACAATAAACATGACCGACAGTACAGACACAAGTGTCCTCAAGACAACTTACACACACACATACACACGCACACACACACACACCGGCTTTTGCCCGTGACGATGAGATCCCGTGTCTCACACGTCACTCCGGCGTTCTGCCGTTGGGAGACGTCATATAATCCCATTATCTGAAACCATCCTCCAATTCAACGACGTCCTAAGACGAGGTCCAGTCTCTTAGAAGCACCCTTGAGACGAGCGTATCCCTCTTCGGGACCGTATTAAGACACATTTTTTGGGTAAAGATATCTGTATCGTGTAGTTTAATATTATACTTGCCCTACAGATATATAATCACCACTTCTTACATTGTGTTGTAAGAAACAAAAACACCTCGAAATTCATGCTAAAATAATATCCCCAAGAGTAATATTGAAATCATAATCTGGCAATACTTGCAAATACTATTACTGAGAAAGGCTCAAAAAGACTCGTATCCAGAGCCGTAAAAACATTTACCAAAAAATATGCATCCCTACTAATATTATAAATGCGCAAGTAACTGTCTCTGTCTGTCTGTTACGCTTTCACGCCTAAACCACAGAACTGATTTTAATGAAATTTGGTACAGACATAGAGTTGACCTTGAGAAAGAACATAGGATAGTTTTTATCCCAGACTTTTGAAAGGTTTGCTTGGAAACGCGATATAACCGATCAACACGCGGGCGAAGCTGCTTAAAGCTATTATATATATATTGCTGAAATTGAAGGTTTATAGTAATCAATTGTTTTATACCCAGGCGCCTGCCTCTACAGTATGCAGGCTCATGACGGAGCTGTGACGTCACTCGCCTATACAGCTTCCTATGTTGTGTCCGCGGGCGCTGACGAAAGGTTATGCATATGGGACAGGTTCCAAGGGCATATGCTGAACACAGTCCATATAGTAAGTACATATCGTCGAAGATGCAAATCCGCGTAACTACCATTGGATAATTCCGCATATCTAAATTGGAAGCAGATCAGAAGAAAGTTTGAGCTGAAATATTTTCTAAATTAACGATTTTTAAGGTAATTTTTTCACAATTAGTAATGAATGAAAGACTATCTTTAATATAAGAAATATTTCAGCTAATTTGATTGCTGTTGATGAGCAGACACCGACATGTTAGGATTTGGTTAAACCAATGAATTCTCAAAACGTGTGGTGGATTTTCTTCATTGCCAGAATTAATCGTGCACGTTTTCATTACATCCATAACACGAATTTCGCGATATGATTGTTTTATTCTGACCAGAGCGCTTTGTGAGCTATCTTTAATCACTGAGCGTTTTCGATCTTAAAGAATAAAATATGAAGAAAAATGAAATGAAATTTCATACGTTATATATAATATTAACTATTATTTATTCACTAGGGTCTAAACTACATGAGTCGAATGCTGCCTCTCACTCACACCCTACTTGTGATGGGCGACCGAAGCGGATTGACGGCATACGACCTCAGCAGCGGGGATATTATACGAAGAGTCATGTTTGGTAAATCTTTATATATATAATTCTTCTGTGAGTGTGTATGTCACTGAACTTCTCTCAAACGACTGGACCGATTTTGATGAAATTTTTGTGTGTTCAATTTTGTCCGCTGGACAATGTTTTTTTAATAAATTTTTAATTTATTAGTATTTGTTGATACAAACGTTCTTTTGGACTCTAGAATTGACAACTAACTAATATGTCAATCATTCTGTCGCACTTCAAAACACGGAGGTTTATGTCTTTAATAGGTAAACTCCAAAAATATTAATAAAAAAACGTAACAGATATTCTGGATTATAGGGCGATACGAAGTTCGCCGGGTCTTCTAGTAATAATATAATATAGTAAGATAATGTACGGTGTGATAGGAGGCCTATACAAGTAACCACTTACAGAGGCCCTGTATATGTAAAAATTACCTAAATAATAATAGAATATAGTAACATAATGTCACGGTGTAATAGAAGGGCCTTTACTAAACCTCATATAGTAAAACCCTGGATAAGTAAAAATTATGCTATACCAAATATCTATGTGATATTTTTATTTAAGGACGTCTGAATATAAAAGGAAAAAATAAATTTATACATACATTCTCAATATAATTTTTGAATAGCTAGGTAGTTGGAAATGATTTACGGTTGAGTACCTAAATTTGTTTTGTAGTTTTTCCTTTGTGGTTAGAAAGAGAGTTTTTAATATGTAAATCTTTATTAAAATAATTTCATCTGAATTATACAGTTACAAATAAATCCCAAAAAAAAAAAATATATGTACGAAATATACATGTGGGCTCATAGAAATGAAACTAAACCCCAGATAGTATACTCATAATAAACTCTTGTTTTACCTGTTAAAAAATTGTTGGACAATAAAGAAAAAATGGGAATAGCAACATTATATTTTGAGATAAATTAAAAAAAAACAACATACAGTTGTATCTATATTTTTCAAGATGATGTCAATATCAACTAATTCATACCTGTAATTTGTTTAGATTGTCAATTAAACAAACTTAAGGAAACCTGTCTGTATTAAATTTTGACATGTATATATTAAATATTGCGACTGGTTATAAATCTAAATGAGATCTAAGATTTTCAGAGTTTTATTCATTTAAATGAATTTAATATTTTTCGGATATACTACGTACGCGACTTTATTTTTGTAAAAAACTATATACTCCCGACGTTTCGGCTACTATTCGTTTAATTTAAATAGTTATAAATCTTTATCATGAACATATATATACATATATATATTACATTTGTTTTTCTATCAGTTACAGGCCAGAGCGACGGCTGTATATTCGTGCGTCAGATACTTCCTCTGAAGGACGCCATAGTATGTGACTACGCGAACCAACTAAGAATAGTCCGCTTTCCTTTAGTGTCGAAAATGGACATGAAGAATGAATAGCATCGATACCATCCCTGCTAAATTTATTAGCTAAAAAACCAATATAACAAGAACTTTAAATGTTATCTAACCAAAAAAACCAGCAAACAAGAACTTTTTAGGTTCACTAACCAAAAAAAAAACAGTATAACAAGAACTTTATATGTTCGCTAACCAAAATACCAGTATAACAAGAACTTTATAGGTTCACTAACCAAAAAGAACCAGTATAACAAGAACTTTATATGTTCACTAAACCAAAAAAAAAACAGTATAACATGAACCCCACAGACTAATAATTCGTCGAAAAATATCATTTGTTCAGTGTAACGAACTATTATATATGTTAAATTAAGAATCTATTTTTATACTGTGTGTGCATTATATGAATACAACGTTAGACTTGTTGAGTGTCTTATATATTAAATATAAATGTAATATTTATTGATATATTGTAAATAGAATTTTTGTATGTAATCGTAACAACGACGGTATTTCTATGATTGAAAGTAAGTTGAATAAACTTGTTGATATATTAATGTAGACTAAATTGTACTTAGATGCGTTTCGAACGATTTTTTCATATAGTTTTAAGATGTGAGCACAAAATGTTTATATGGTCTATGTATAAATAGCTATTGGTACTATCATAACGATTTTTTTTGTAACATAATATAGTGTGTGACACTTTTTTTGTTTTGTTATAATTATGTTTAAAATGGCTTCTATTTTACGGCCTCTAAATATGGGTGCGTATACATTTTTAATCTTCGTATATTTCAAATAGTTGTAAGCAAAACGATTTGCATAATTTAATAATATGTAAGGATTTTTTCATTTCTTTAGTTATATAGTTTTTGTAGTTAAGTCGTTTCGTGCAATTAGAAGTAGTTTTTTCAAGACGCTAATATCGATTTGTATGTATATAAATTTATTAATTTTTTTTGCGGGTATGTGCTAATTGTATGTGGCTACTGTTCCTATAACTTAAATCTAAATTTTTCTTCTGGGTTTCAGAGAGTATATTATTTTTCTTTTGTACTAAATCTGATAAAATTCGTACTTTATAGTCGACTGTTTATAGTATATATTATTCAATATTGAATTTAGTATTGCCATTGCCATGATGATGATGATGATGATGATTTCAAAATAACAGAAAAAATATGTCACAATAAATATTTGGCGGGATTATAAAGAAGATTAATGGCAACATCTCAAAAATTATTCAGTTTCAATGGAAGGAAATTCCTTTTGGGCAACATTGCTATTTTATCGACATAGGTTTATTAAATACAAGCTTATAATAAGTTTACATTGTATTTAAATACTGTTTTACAAATTTAAAATTGCTGACGCTCTGTATTACGTGTGACAATGGAAACTCATGCTGAAGATAAAATAATATATTGTGTTATTATTAAATTACAAAACAATCGCATATGTTTCAATCTTATATACATCGAATTCTTTTATATTATATATAGCGTAAGTCACAGAGGGCTGTGGTACAAAGTGGCTTTTTTAAGAAACTTCAAAGATTTTTTTTTGTACATGTTATGGTAGCTATAGTTTGTAAGATTTGAAAAGAAGTTGTTTGTTTAGTTATAATATGTTCGTATTTTTCACTATTTCCCATACCTGTATTATATGAGAATAACTCCGAGCAACCAATGATTGATTTTGTTGAAAAAAATACATCAATGAACCTTTATAAAGGATAATTATGAAAAGTACAAAAGTTGGGAAGATTTGTTTTGAATTATTATTACACACACACATACACACACACACACACACACACACACACACACACACACATACACATACACACACACAAACACACACATAAAATACAATTTTTAATAGCAATAAATATACCAAGGGATTTATTTACATATGAGTGAGCTATGACTTGACTGTCAATGGTATTAATTTAAGCATTAGTATCTTAAGCTATACATTTTTCTATAGAACATCTTGTATAAAATAAGTAAATTTGTTAGGATAATAAATAATTTTAACGCTAACATGGCTATAACGAGTTGATAATGATTTATAAGAAAACGTTTTTTTTACATTTTCATTATATTTATATTTTGCAAAACTGTGTGTAAATCTCTGTATTTAATGGTGACAACTGAGATTGATAAACAGGAATATTTTTTTGTGTGCAATCCTATGTATTAGTAAATTCTGGACTCCATTAATGATTTATATATTTTTGTGTAATTCTAATAATTTCATATAAAAAGCAATCCGGTCATAATAATAGTTTTAAAACATAACCAGTATTTATAAACTCTGTGAATGTAACTTGTATGGTATCAAGGAACAAGTTGTATTGAGTTCTCAAGAAAGTTTGTATAGAAGCCTTTGTAGTATTTATATAATTGGAACAAGCACTACAATTCTGTTCTCTTTCACAATCTTTATAATTAACAGCTCTAAGAAATTCAATTAAATTTTAAATATATACAGGGTGACTGGTGAATTACTATCGATACTTGAGGACGTGATATTTGACAATCATATATGACAGAATAAAAATTAATATAACATAAATATTAATAAACTTCTAAGTAAAGTTTACCAAAAGTTATGTAAGTAATTACGCATCGTGTGAACACCCTACAGATTAGGTATACACACACACACATTCGCGTGCGGTGGCGTGGTGTTGTATCAGCACGCCGCCGCACGCGTCCACACTTGGAACACTTGGAGCGTGTCTACACGTTATTTATTTATACGGAAATTTGGTCAAAAATTAAGTACCTATTTTTTTTACATAATTCGAATGAGAATCATGTACCGAGTATTCTCCTTAAATATTGATAGTAATTCACCAGTCACCCTGTATAAAATATAAATTAAATCTACTCTGTTATAAAATTTGGACGCTTTATTAAAATGTAATAAGTATATCGTTTAAATTAATTTTATGATACTACATATAAGGATTTATTTATATGTGTAGTTGTTTAAGCGAAACTCAGCTTTGGTACCACAACGATTAGGACCAAACGAAATATATCTAAAGAAAATTAATAAAAAAGTTTATATATTTTGTGACATTTTATTATGTTATATATAGTGTAAAGTCTTATGAAAATTCTTAGCACTTCATCTGTATGGGTTATACTTACTTCAAAATTTATTTTGACTTTAGACTTGTTTTATTTCTGACTAAATAAAAAGAACTAGATATTGTGGACACATTTTATTATTTCTACATACATCAGATGACATGTATACATCAAGAAGTACTGAATCTATTGTTATAATAAGAATACGGTTTGTCTATTATAGAACGATGACCAACTACTAGAGAACAATTAATATTTAATGTAAATAAAACATTATTTTTATATAACCATTGTTAATTATTTTTCATTTCGAACATTTCCAGAACATCAGAATTAATAATTCCTACCTACCTAACTTCAAGTACAAAAACTGTACTGAATTTACATAACGCTGAAAATATCACTTTAATAATTAATGATAAAAAATATAACAGCTTGCTAGTCTACACCCTGCTTAATAAACAGATATAGTTTGAAATAAGTGAAACTTTTAGCCTCCACAAACCGTTACAAGCGTTAGTAACATTTGACTAATTATAATATATATAAATATATATAACATCAATATATATAGCTACCACAGGGTGTTATATATATGCCAAGAAAGTACCTAATAGACTACAGTCCTCATTATAGAGTTACATCCTATAAAGTCAAGAGATTCAATAAATTGACAAAAAATAGACACGTAAAGCTTTGCTTTGCTTAATAAATAGATACAAATTCGAAATTCCTTTAAGTTTACACTTTTCCATACGGTTATATAATAAATATATATATAATTCGAAAGTTTACAAATCACCGAAATTTCTTAAATAATAAAAATTTTCATGATATTACATCATTCCAATACCAATATCACATTTTAATATCATAACCAAAGTGTCAATCATTTTTTATTCTACCTCGATAAAGAGTACTAAGACGTATTTTTTTTTTAACTACATCGAAAATGTAAATGATATATAGTGTTAGAGATACATTTAATATACTTTTTAAATTGGTTCAACGAAGAAAGCTTCATCATAACCCTGTTGGTCAGCCGCAGTGGCTGTGCCGACAGCACCTTCAACAGTCTCCTCAGAATCCTCACGTATAACAGTAGCTGCTATTGAAGTTCCAGATGTAGTTGGAATGTTAGCAAAATCCTCCAAATCTTTTTTGGCAGCTTCTTTGGCAGCCGCCATTTCTGCCCTTTCCCTTTCTTCTTCTTCCAAAAGCAATAACTCCGCAGGGGATATTGCGGCCGCCCCCAGAGGATCTTGTAAGGGTTCCACATATACTTGATGTGGACATTCAAATTGGAAGCCGAGCTTCTTGATGGTTATGATAAATTCTTGACCAGGGCTCAAAGCTGTATCCACCCCACTGTTCCAAGCTTGAGTCTCATCTGCCGTGCAAAAAATAGCAAGTACCGAACTCCTCAGACACATAGCTGGCATGTATTTTAATATATTAGTAGGGACCTCCACATCTATGCCCTGGTCAACAAGATGGACTATGGCTTTATACTCGTCAACTAATATTCTTTTCAGAAGACCTCTTTCATACATGTTGCGACTTTCATCTCTCATGCATAGGATCATGCCCTCAATCATATCATTTTCACAGATTCGAAACTCCTGCCTGGCATAGAAGGTAATGTTGTTTTTCTCTTTCAAATGCTTTCTATAGTCACCGATTTCAGCGACGTAGAATTCCTTCATAGACGTCCCAGCCAGAACCTTGACGTGCAAAGCATCGTTAACTGCCAGCTCTCGGAACGTGAAATGTTGCTGTTTTCGAACAGTTGTTGGATGCCACATGACATCCTCGTAGAGAGGTCCCAATTTTGAATAAGCCCCTTTAGCTAACATAGTCGCAATATCTTCCGGATTGGAATTGACTAGTTTCACAACCAGTTTTTCATCTTTTTTGTTTAAAATGAGCATTTTAGATTGCTCATTTCCCGCGTAAAATTTAAAGCCTTCGATTGAATGCGCAGGCCAGTTTGGCAATCCCGGTGGGAAACAGTTACCGAGCTCACAAAAAGCGGCTAATGCGGGTACGGTTTGAAATTCTTCCTTACATTGCCACAAAAACTCTAGAGGAACTGCCTTTTCGACAAAGCCGTAATCAATAGCAAATAGATCGTAGTCAAAGAAGCCTTCGACCTCAAGAACTTTAATTATTTTGCCTCTAATATATTTAGAGGCGCCACAGGACTGGCCCCAGTTATACAAGACAATGTCTCCTATGTTGACAAAAGAAACTTTCGCAATCGGCACAGTAGACTCAAATTGGTTTACCACCAGTCTATACTTAGTAGGTCGTATGTAAAAATTGTGTGGATCGATGATATAGGTAACATCCACAAGATGCAATGAATTTACTTCATATGCATCCAGGACGATGTTTCTTAAAATTTCAGCCTCCTCCATTATGATCTGGGATAAAGAAAATGTAAAAATATTATCAGATCTCCAATAAAAAGACTACGGGTTCATTAAACTTGGATTCAAGTCTGTGAGCGCGTATTGTAGGCAGCTCTTATTACTTAACATAAAATAAGATAAAATATATTTTCATAGATTTTTATTAAAGAAATTATGTTATAATGAAGATATTAAAAAAATATTCAAGACAACATAGTATACATTAGTAAGGGTTTATTATTTAAATAAATAATTACATATTTACAAGCTACAGTGAAGAATTAATAAAATATTTTTTTTACACAAAAAGAAATGAAAATCATCATGCTTAAAATTAAAATCACAATAAAAATAATGTTAAAAAGTAATTACAACATGCGTACAGTTAAATATTTTTATTTCGTTACACAAAAACTACAATCAAATGTTCTAAAACTAATAAAAACTGAAAGGACAACATCAAGTCGACAAAAAATTTTATTTGAAAAACAATGAACTTACATGTTGTTAAATTTATTACAAAACAATATAGAATATTCACTGAAATTGACTTCTGTTTTTATTTCGTACTGACAAAAAGTTTAAAAGGATGTTAATAGCTTAACGGAAATTTGTTGTTTTTACAAACTAATGGACCGTCACGGTCCGTAGCTGAAATCTGAATGACCCTATATTCAGTAGATACGTCCACCACCCCGCCGATCCCGCTGACTCCCTCCAATTACATACCCGTTTACCTCAGGATCAATACCCCTAAAGTGTTGCCAGTTAACAGCGACTATTTTATAAATGACAGAATAAAAAATTGCATATTGTAACTACATTGGTATTTAATAGATTAAAATATAATATTTTAATAATCATTATATAAGATTAATAAATTTTGAGTTAATAGATCATATGTTATATATTTTATAAATTATTTTTGATCTTTACTTCGGAAAAATAGAATATATAAACCTTTTATATTATTTCTTTTAGAAATAATATATTTAATGAATTGAAATTAATATAAAAATACAGATGGACCAAAGACTTTATCAATTTAAGTGGCATGATATAATTCATATGTTTTTACTCACATCAAACCAAATAATACAAATATGATCGCAATAAAATGATACTATCTCCGAAAGTCAAAGTCAAACTAATTTGTTTTCATTCTTCTCAGTTCAAGCAATTTAGTTAACAAGGACCATTATAATAAAATTACTGAAATAAGTCATTTTCATATTGAACTCATACTTATTCCCATTCAAAAGATTCGGTCGTTCGGACTATATCACTAGATGAAAGAAATATTATTCATTACCTATTTATACAATTTTATTCCTTTTATGACAAATAAAATTCAGTATATTTGTTTAGTCATATTTATAGCAGAATTTTATTAAATATGATTAGGGGTTTATGTAGACGAAAGAAAAGAAATTTCATATGTTCACGGGCAGTTAATACACATAAACGGAAAAATATACAACTAAACATTAAAATAAGACATTTTTTATTTAAAAAATGTATAAAGATTGTAAGTTATATTATCTTCTATCGTAAAAGTACTTGGATATAAAATAACAAAAACTGTTGCATATCTGTGTACCAATGCTCTGCATCGAACTAAAAATAAACCATTTATAGATTGTTAAACATAAAACAAAAATGACTGTTGTTTTAAAAATAAAAACATTGAAATTTCTCTTGTTTTATTTCGTAATACAAAATCGTAATTATCCTTCATTCAGTTTTATGTATTTCATAAATTTTTGTTGTCTGTACAAATTACATTAAGGGAAAATATACAATACATTGTGGTAACCATATTATATGATTACTTATATGTGGTACCATAGTTCATTAAAAGTATTACATTCTTTATTAAAACAGATTTACACAGCTTAGGCTAATATACAATTATCTGTTCAATATTTATTAATATGATTATATTAATATACATATTACCTATATTGCCATCTATAAAAACTTGAAAGCGATAAATAAATCCGAATAATAAATATTAACGAATATTTAATATGATAATCAGCATATTTAATATTAAATTTATGTTATTACAAAAAAAAAAAATAAATATATTAATAAAATATATATTTTAATTATCATTCCTGTTCTTTGCATTAAATATTGTTAATTCAAATCGATTTTTCAGTTTAGCTTGCTATCAATCGATTTTAAGACTCATTATTTCAATTATTGGAAAGTTTATAACCTCTACATAAACTTTCAAGGTTCTTCGTGACTTGCATAGACTACATACTACACTGTGGTAGTACACTTCAAAGTACAAATTGTGCCTGGTGCCAATACTTTTTATCCTTTTAGAAGTGAGTTAATATTTTTTAGACCGATTATACTCATGGGTAATTAAATATTTTGCTTGTATATTTTTATAATAATGTCTTCAATTTTTTTTTTACAGATATAACTTTATATTGCTGTTAGTTTGAAACTACTTTTGTAAGTTTTTAAAGCCGAAGAAAATATTGTAAAAATGGCCCAGTAAGTTTCTTTTTAAATACTAATATTATTAAAAATGTAAATTGTATAATATTCTTTTTTATTTAACAATAAGGTATTCTTTTTCATTTAGTGTTCTCTTGCAATTGCTTTTTTCTGGCATGGGACTAAATATGTTTTTACGATAAAAGTGGTGAAATTTTTTCTTATCAGCAATAAAAATTTCTAATAATTTGAATCAAGTATAAGTACATTACAAAAAAGTTTCTTATGGGATTCTTATAATTGTGTATTTTAAGAAGTTGAATTTCCATTAATAAAAAATATTACACCACAATAGTTTTTTTTGTAATTATAATTTCATAATCCTTTTCAACCAATTTATGTCATGTAAAATTTAATAAAACATTACTCATGCATGAAAGACATGCAAAGGTTATTTGAAGGTTAACACTTACATAGACCTCTTGGATGCATAAGAAATTAAAAAAAGTATTAAGTATTATGATTAAAATAAAATTATTTTATTTTTAAATTTAATATATATGTGTATTCCAGACCAAAAGCAGACATTGCTCTCATTGGGCTGGCAGTGATGGGGCAGAATTTAATTTTGAACATGGATTCTAAAGGATTTGTTGTTTGTGCTTTCAACAGAACTGTTGAGAAGGTATGCTTATTACAAAAAACCTATTTAAAAAGTTAAATTAATATGTATAAGTATATGTCATAATAAAAATTCCAGGTCGACCAATTTCTACAAAATGAAGCGAAGGGTACAAAAATTATCGGAGCCAAAAGTCTTGAAGATATGGTCTCCAAGTTAAAAAAGCCGAGGAAAGTCATGTTGTTAGTGAAAGGTATAACATATTCATAAAAAAAAATATTATGAAATAAAATATCAGTTAATTTCACAACAATAAAAAGTGACATTGAAACTTTAGATTACTTTGTAAATAAATTTATTTGTAAATGATTTGTAGCTGGTTCAGCTGTTGATGAATTTGTGAAGAAATTGGTACCGCTACTAGAAAAGGGAGATATAATTATTGATGGTGGTAACTCTCAGTATTTGGATACACAGAGGTGGTGCGAGGAGCTCGCTCCCAGTGGATTACACTACATCGGAATGGGTGTAAGTACACAGATGTTTGATGCATTTTTTATACCTTAGCAATTGTAATAAACATGCAACTGGTATTATCACCAAGTAATTTTAATATATGTAAATTATTTATGTGTTAAACATTTGTATGAATTATGTTTCAAGGTAAGTGGTGGTGAAGATGGCGCTAGGTATGGACCTTCACTCATGCCCGGTGGTCATTCAGCGGCCTGGCAACATGTTAAACCAATTTTCCAGGTAATAACTTCTATTCTAGAAAACTTTAACTTATATAGACTAGTTCTTAACTTCTATTCTAGACAATCTTATGTGTTTTCTTCGTTTAAATTTCTTTTATCGAATTAGCTAATAGGTATGACATATTTATAACTTAATTTTGAAATTTGCTATAATTTTGTACTTTTAGTTGTAATTATATTATACTAGTAATATTTTAGATAGTAAATAATTACTTTAGTGTTTTTTCCTTAACATTCACAACTTTGTATGAGGAAGGTGCTTATTTACATAAATATATTTATTTATTGCTAAATACAAATATGTGAAGTGACAGGAAATCATTGTGCTATGTGGCTAATTATTCTATTGTAGGCTATCAGTGCTAAAGTTAACGATGAGCCTTGCTGTGACTGGGTTGGAGAGAATGGTGCTGGTCACTTCGTTAAAATGGTCCACAACGGCATTGAGTACGGAGACATGCAGCTTATATGCGAAGCCTATCATCTTATGAAGGATGTTCTCGGTAAATACTATCAATATATCTCAGTTTTCTTTCAATTGATACAGAGTGTTCAAATTTTATATAATTTTTCTGTCTCACAGGCATGGAACAAGATGAAATGGCGCAAGCCTTCGATGAATGGAACAAGGGTGAATTGGATTCATTCCTCATTGAAATTACTCGGGACATATTGAAGTTCAAGGATTCTGATGGTAAAAAAACATTATTATTACAGTATTATGTTTATTCAATTGGTATTTTATATACAAACTTAACTGGCATTCTACCTATTGGAACATGAAAACGAAATTGTAGATAGTGATTATTATCTTAATATCAGCGAAAAATTAAGATTAAGTATTATTATTACCTTATCATGTTATAACCGTTACAGGTAAATACCTGCTTCCAAAGATCCGTGATGCTGCAGGGCAAAAAGGCACCGGCAAATGGACCGGCATTAGCGCCTTGGAATACGGTGTGCCCGTCACTCTAATTGGGGAGGCTGTATTCGCGAGATGCCTGTCAGCTTTAAAAGGTATCACTAGTTACCTAAAACCTTAACATGAAAAAGGTTACAACCAAAAAGTTTTTAATTTAAATAATTTGGATAATATTTCCTAATAAATGAACAAGAAATTACATAATGATTAGTATCTCTATTCACATCTCGTCTGCCCGTGATCACGATTACTGAAAAGTAGCCGAAAAGTATTAGTATCATTTAAATAGTATATGATGTGTCGAGTAAATGGGGTCAAATGTTGTTCTGTATTTCATTAATAAGAGGAAATGACGTCATTATTGTTTTATTAATATATGCATTAATTATATTGTTATGATCAAACAGATGAACGCGTGACAGCCAGCAAATCACTACCGGGTTCATCGATCAAGTTCAGCGGCGACAAGAAACAGTTTTTGGAGCATTTGCGGAAAGCACTATACGCTAGCAAAATTATATCATATGCACAAGGCTTTATGTTGCTGCGCGAAGCTGCTAAGGTATTTCATCATTAGTAATTTCTTATTATTATTCATAAATCGTCATCAGCCTATCAGAGTCTATTGCTGAGCTGCTTCTTCTCACATGGAGAAGGTTTGAGCATTAATCACCACGCTTGCTCAAGACGGATTGATGATCAAACATATAATTGTGAAATTATAAGTCCAGGTTAATAACGATGTTTTTCATACATATTAATTTATTTTCCATATATTTTAGGTACACAAATGGAACTTGAACTACGGTAGTATAGCCCTCATGTGGCGCGGAGGCTGCATTATCAGAAGCGTCTTCCTCGGCAATATAAAGGTTAGTTCACAACAAAAACCCAACTAACAACCGCTGTACGTCATATATTTAAATAAACCTATTGTATGTAAAATATTAAACATGAAACATCAATATTAATCAGCGTTTTTGTATTAATTTGTATATAATTACTACTTTTTCTCAACGACTTCGCTTTAATTTCGAAATTATATAGTATAGCTGACGGGCGAACTATATTCTGTTCTAGTGGCCGTAAATAACCAGATATTGGAATTGATTATAATTTTTTCGATCGAACAGAATTAAATATCTCATGTCTATCTCTCCATCAATTTTCAATCAAATTCCTACAGCCGTTCTTGAGTTATAAATAGTGTAACTAACACAACTTTCTCATATATATACGAGAAGACCCGGCGAACTTCGTATCACCTATAATCAAGAAATATCTGTTACGTTTTTTTATATATTTTTGGAGTTTACCTATTAAAGCCCTAAATCTCCGTGTTTTGAAGTGCGACAGAATGATTGACATATTAGTTAGTTGTCAAATATAATATCAAAAAAAAAAACGTTTGTATCAACAACTACTAATAAATCAAAATTAATTACAAAAACACTGTCAAGCGGACAAAATTGTGAATCTAAACCATTCCCAGATCCCCTTGAACACACAGAAAAAATTTCATTAAAATCGGTCCAGTCGTTTGAGAGAAGTTGAGTGACATACACACTCACAGAAGAATTATATATATAAAGATATTTTTTCATGTTTCAGGACGCATTCAAGAAGAACCCTCAGCTATCAAATCTGTTATTGGACCCGTACTTCCGTGATCGTATCAGCGTGTCTCAACAGTCGTTACGACAAGTCGTGTCGGAGGCGGCCTTACTTGGAGTGCCCGCGCCCGCCTTCGGAGCCGCACTCGCCTTTTATGACGGCTATAGATCTGATATGCTGCCAGCTAACTTGCTGCAGGTGATTTAATATGAGATTCTTACTAATTTAATAAGTTCCATTGAAAACTGACCTCTAATTCGTAGTATTAGAGTTTAACTTTCAATGTTAGTTCCTGAAATCTCCACGTGATCATCTTCATATAATATAAATAATTTTTACCTTTTCTGTTCATAAATTGATTTCTATATCTTGCGAAGTCTTGCACAATATAATGCGATGGCTGTTTCGTTAAACATAACGTTTTATGTCTTAATTTTATCAAACTGTCGATTGGTCAGGTGTTCTATAATACATACATGTACATGTGTAAGCTTGTGTGTGTGTGTGTTTGTGTGTGTGTATGTGTGTGTGTGTGTGTGTGTGTGAGTGTTTGGTACACACAGTATTCATCCAGAATATTAGCATAAAATTTGGTATTTAAAATAATATAATATTTATTTTCCTCCAAATCCATCAACTAGATGAGTATCAGATAACATAAAATACGTGCTGTACAATCTAATCTATGATTACAGTGAGTGACGGGTTACAATGAAATGTAGTACAGATGAAGTGGATGAGATAAACTATATATAACAATACATTGATATACAAACAGATAACACACACATACACATAATATATCGTCGAGGATAGTGCAAATCCGAGTAACTACATTGGAATTAATGAATTAAATACTAAATAATTACTAATTGTGAAAAAATTTAGTTAAAAGTCGTTAATTTAAAAATTATTTCAGCTCAAATTTTCTTCTGATAATCTGCTTCTAATATATATACGCGGAATTATCTAATGGTAGTTATTCGGATTTGCACTATCCCCGACGATAAATACATCTAATGAAAATCTCTGAACACATTTATATCTATACTATTATATTATTATATTTTTTTAGGCTCAAAGGGACTATTTCGGTGCTCACACATACGAACTGCTATCAAAGCCTGGTAATTTCGTTCACACCAATTGGACCGGCCACGGAGGCAGTGTCTCTGCGTCAACTTACAATAAATAATTTCTTTACTTATATTACTATGTTCCAGTGTTATATGACATTCCTCGACGTCATGCATTCCCTTCGCATTATGTTGTAAAAATAACTTTATATACATATATATTTTTTTATATTTTTTGTGATGTTTACAAAATTTACACACCATGTATATGCCTTAAGTTAATGTTTTCTTAAGGCGCTGAGATAATTTTATATTGTTACTATATGTATTTATACAGGGTGGTTGTATATGTAAATTTTATTATGATTAAATCATATATTATAACATCGGGAACAATTTACTATTTACTATTTATGTGATTTTGTTTTTTTAACTATTAAAACGCCAATAAAATGGGTCCGTATGGAAAGTGTCTTTCATTAGTTTTGTTACCTTCATCAACTATTGTAGTCCCTTAATTAAAACCTATTTTGTTGTAAAACAAAAAAAAAACTTTTAATGGCTGAATACTTAATGGTCTTTGCTTTCCGTATTATTTTTTAATGATCATTATGACGATTCATGTTTTGTCATTGCTATATATTTTTTTATTTATACTATAGCTTCAATCACACTGAATTTGAGAAATATTCTGCCAATGTCATCGCATTTTTTATTTAAATTGCCTTCTATAGAGTGAATGACAATATAAGTATGATGTATACTTGGGTTTTATAAAAACTATAAAGCTAACAAAGATTATTATATCACACAGATTATATTAAATGTCAATGTTGGATCATAATGACGTACGATTTATAATAACAAAATGAGTAATAATGGCAAAATTTGAGGTTTAAATGAACAAAAATGATATATGGATTACTTTTAAGTTCGATAGTTATACTGCTATGGGCTCCGTGCCTTAAGAAGGGCTTGTGGGCAAAGCAGGGTCCAGTTTATGCGAGGGATCGTAAAAATAGAATATATCAAATAAGTCCGACCGGTGACTGTTGTCGGAAACCAAATGACATTAAGTAAGTTATGATCATTAAATAATACGAGAAAAATATTAATATTTACAACAAGCTTTACGTAATTTTATCAATATATTTAATTTTAGCCAAATACATCAAAATGTCAATGAGAAGTAATTCATAATACCAGCTGAATTATGTTTATTTGAGAAAATTTCAAGACTAATGAATGGGTTAGTTTGTCAGAAATAAAAGATGGTAATACTTCAGAAGCGTTTATATTTTTCGATATGTATTAAACAGTTTTATATATAAGGTAAAAAATATTATTATAATGTTTTCGGTACGTTCTAAATGTAGTAATAAATTAGTTTATATGTTATATAGTTTTTAAATCTCAAGATTTTCTATATATTTGAATATAATATTAAATATTCTAATTACACATCATGTTCATGGGAATCTTATTAATTAATACAGGATTATACTTATTGTAAATTCAAATATGTACAATAAACATTTTAAAAATGTCTTTATTCAAATACAGTTTGCTACTTATATAAATTCATGATTATTAAGTTAGAATAACAGGTATCGTATTTAATATGCCTATACTACTTTACAGCCAAGATGCTTATGGATATTTATAAATATTATATGTTAATAATCTTTTAATGAGATACATTTTTATTTACATAATATCTGGTTCAAAGAATGTTATTCTTTATTTTCATCAAAATCTGTTTTACTTGTTATTTTTTGTGTCATGTCTTGTCACTAGTCGATGTGGTATTAAATAGATCCTAGTGGTATATCAAGTTGATGCATTTTCTTTGAAGATTAGCTTCTTCTAAACCACCTGCGTTTCCCATTTTCAGACGTTTTGCTCTTTGCACTCGAGGATGGACTCGGTTCTTTGCTGCTGTATTCAGATTCAGAATCAGATTTCTGACCTGATATACAGCTTTCTAGGATGGATCTTGAAGTACCCTTCTCCTTCTTTTTGCTACGTCGGAAGAAACTTCTTCGTTTTTCCCTTGGACTAGGCTTACTTGTACTCGTACTAGGTTCTTCTAGACCCCTTTTTAGAGGTGTAGGTTGAATAATATTGGAACTCGATTCTCCTTGATAAAATATTGGAATATCGCATATAACTACCGGGCTAAGACTTCGTATTTTTCGACTTGGACCCGGCGTCTGTTCTCGAGTAGGTCGAAGTGCTGGTTTTCTTATTTCTAATCTTTCTGTACTATCACTCCAGCTTTCATCCGTAATGCGTGCGCTGGGACTTTTCTCTTTGTGACGATAATCCGGACTCTTTTGCGAGTCATCTTCTTTGAGACTAGTTCGAGAGCTATCACCAATGCTGAGTCCAGGAATTTCATCAGTACTTGCGATTGGGCTAAGGCTTACAGCTTTGCTACTGAAGCTCTTTTTTCTTTGCGCAGGGTCAGGACTAACGCTTCCTCGACTAGGGCTTGAACTCATGTCTTTATGCCGATCAGAACCGCTACTATCTCTGTATCGTTCGGGACTCTTTTCTCTGTAACTAGAAGAGGGACTTAATTCTACACTTCTTGGATCTGGACTTTCTTCATGGCTTCGTTCAGAGCTCTTGTCTCTTCCACTGGAGCTTCGCCGATAATCTCTATAGGCAGGGCTCTCTCCTCTATAGCTAGTACCAGGACTCTCATCTTTATGGCTTAGGCTAGAACTTCTGTCGATACCACTGAGATCAGTGCTTTCATCCCTATAACTAGTTCCAGGGCTTTCATCTCTATAGCTAGGGCTGGGGCTTTCCTCTCGGCGGAAGGGGTCGGGGCTCTCATCTCGGCGACTAGTGCAAGGCTCGGAGTATCTGTCTTGGCTTATGTCCCGACGCTTCCGCCTAAAAGTTTTGTAACGTTGTCGAAAAGAGAGCGATTAGTTACTATACTTTTACCCCAAAACAAAGTCTGATATCCTGGCCAATAACTTCAGACGACAAAATGAATAAATGAATGATTTCATGAGTTGAATAATATGTGACATTTCATGCATCAAGGTCTATATACAAACCTCATATACAAACAACCTCTATATACAAACCTCATGAAGCGCCAGCCTCTTCTTTGTCATCCATCCCGTTTCGTTGGCCATCCACCAGATCCGAAGAAGGAACTAAAGAAAGAAATTTAAAGGTTAGACATATCTAATAAATACTTAACAAAGGTAGGTACTTGTTTCATATATTACCTGCTGCTTGTCAGCTTTGATTTTTTCTCTGTTTTTTCTAAGCTCGAACAAGGTCTTGGGCTTTCTGTTCTCTCAACCTAATTTTAGAAAACAATAATTATTTCATGTTTATTTTAGAAGTGCATTTTATATGACAAATTATTTTGATGTTATTAACACGACGAAAATATGTATTAGTTGAAAACAAATGAGTATACCTGTTGACTTGTCGATGGGACAGGTTCGAATTGGGTTGTCGATTGACTCGCTACGTGACCCATTTTATAGAGGGGCGGATGTTTGAATGAATACGAGAACGCAAGACCACGCTTAAGAGATGCTCTGTAATATATTAAAATATTGTATTTTTGGTGTTTCCATAGAAATAATTGCATAGAGATAAATGAAAACCGATATCTACCTCGTAGGACTTGGTGGTGGATAGCTGGCACCTCTTTGGTCGGGTGTCAAATATTGTCCTTGTGTTTTATGGCGTTGGCTTAATAATTGTTGGTGGGATTTGTAAAGCTTGACTGATGCTGACATGTGTATTGGGTGTGTGGGACTGTTGAAAGATTGGATCATTAGTAAATGTAGCAAATTTAATTCTGAATAATAGTCGTTCTTTCTTATACCTCGATGTAGTCCTAGGAGTGGAAGGTTCTATCGTTAAATCGGGAAGGCTGTGTATAAGAGTGGTGACATTGTTCTGTGGTTCTTGGACTCGTAACGTATGAGTACTGGAAGTTTGCATCGAACTTCTTGATGGCGTAGGCGAGGGTTGCAGCTGTTGATATTGTTTCTTTAGTAAAGAAATCGTTAAGACGATTTAAAGTAATAATAAGAATTAATAACTGTAATATTTTTAAAAATATCAATACAATACAAAGATAAATTAAAATGAATATAAGTTCAAACAATATGGACTTAATAAATTACCGAAATACGCTGCGGTGTCATCGTCTCAGATTCGCTTTCGCTTATAACTCTTACAGTGACTGCTGATCCTGAAAATATTTGTACCTCATACGCTTATTAAGGCGTATATTATAATTGATAATTAATTATAAACGAACTTCATTATGATGAATCCATTAATAAATGATAAATATAAAATTTCAGAACTATTAATATAATTTAGACGCTAGAAATGCTCGAGTAGAATAACCATAATTTTTTTAAATAATTTTACTAAGATATTTCCAACAAACTGTCAATAGAAAATTCTTTTCTTCGATTGCAAACATTTAATTACTCATTGAAGATTAATAATCTATTTCATTTCATACAATGGTACGTCTGTGTGTTTGTATAATATAAGACATACCACTGGCAGAGAGTGGCGGAGGCTGAAGGTACTCCATATAATTATTTGAGCGTTGAACTTGCAAGGCACTCGTGCCAGGTTCTTGCAGTGACATAGTGCTATTGGAATGAATATTACTATTATAATATGACAATATATGTCCCAAAAAATGTAAGGAGATGTAACCCTACGAACCTTGTATGTTGAGGTATCTGAAGTCTTTGTTGGTATGGTAAAGAACTAGTTATTGTTCGATGAACCAGATGTGGTACGTAGTTTCGGCCGGGTGGCCGGGCGCTGACGCCCATAACTATAGCTAGTTTTAATAGAAAATAATTTAAAAAATATCCTATACGAGTTGTATAATAAATAAAGATAATATAATACATACTATCATAATTGTAAAACGTGGATGTCATGGCATTTGAATCTTGATTCGCCCCCATGCCCCTATGTAACATGCAAAGGACGCTTTCACGCGCCTCTTGCTCTATGTGACTCTCTTCAGCTTCGTTGCGCGGCTAAAAAACACATTCGCTCAATCATTAAGCCGTTTCAAAGTATAACAGTCCGCGTGAAGTTTGATAAAAATATCTCACTTTTTTATAATGCGCGTATTCCGCCTTGAGATCTAAATCCATTTCGCTGATATCTCGAGTGGGATTCCGGGACATCCAAAGAGCAATTTCGTAAGCATACTTGGCCTCCTTCACTTTATTCTCCATGGTCTACGTTGTTTAAAAGAAAATTTATTTTATAATTCTGTAGAGTTAAGTCCATTGGGGTGGAATTTCGATGAGAGTTTAATAAAATGTTGATATTTGAAATTAAGTAATATCAAATGTTTAAGAATGCTTTAACTTTTTCTGTTTTACGTGAATTTTATTTAAGAATATTGCTGCGTACTTTTAAAGTCTGCTGAGGATTTGGATCCTTAGGCATCACGGAGAGCATGAAGCTGGAACACGAGGTTCCGTGATCATCCAAAACCAGGAATACGAGACTCGTCGCGTCACTACTCTTGCTAACAGATTTGCTGATCTGGACTATCTTATCTATCATGTAACGAGGCCTACAACGTGAAAGTAAAAAGTTAAATCTATTGCTACTCAGTATCGTCAAGCTACTCTCAAAAAGTCAAGTAAATTTCGCGCTGCGCTATAAATGCAACTTATTGTAAACAAATAAAATTGTTATCCCAATTTACCTATAAAGTTTAAACTGATAGCCTCTAGATAGCCTTCTACATACTATCAGCATATCAGTCAGCAAGAAAACGCGGCAGTCAATCTGTAAGGAAAGATCAATCATTTCTAAAGAGATTTCTATGAAAAGAAATAATTTATTTAAATACAAACTGAAACAAAGAGATTCAACATTCGCAGTATAATTAGCACATGGCATAAGTCGCTAGTAAGCAAGAAATTAAACTGTTTATTAAAGGGGTATTATGAGATTGTGTTATCGGATGCATCCATGGGCCGCTAGCAAATGAGTCATATAGTTCTTGCCTCCTTGGCAGAGTCACGGAATCGAAGGTCAGCCTGGTGGGTCAGCGTGCGTCGGTGGGCTGGGAGGCAGTAGAGCATGGGGGCCGATAGATTCAATTTACCATAAGCATTGTAAAGTTTTTCAACTTCTTCATCTTTGATCTCCTAAAAGGTAACATCAAGACATTCGTATAAAATTTTCACTTCACATGATCTCGACGTGAGCAAAAAAAAAAGAAGTAAAATAGATGTACAAAACCAACACTTACGCAATCAAGATTTTCAAGGGTTTTTTGTAGGGCTATAACCTTTTCAACTTCTTCGTTCTGACGAACGGAACGATTGATTTCAGTAACGACAGTAGAAGTGGTTTGTTCCTTAAAAGTTTTGTGTAAAATTAACACCTATCTACTTATATATAAGAAATCTATTAACTTTATATTACTTTATAATAATGTTCTAATACAACTTCTTATAATTACTAAAATAATATAAGGTTTTGTTAATTAAATATCACGAGAAAGAACCAACAAGAGAAATAAATACAAAACGAATGCTATAATATCAATATATGAAGCTGGGTGAATCAGAGATATACTTTTTTTTCATCATAAAAGAAACATGCCAACGTCAATACGATAAATTGTTTTCATTCTGAAGAAATAAAATAGAAGAATATATAATTTACAACACTAAACAACTTCTTTTAGTGAAATTTCTCTTTGATATATAAAATTAAAATAAATTTTGGACGAATTTAAACATTATAAAATTTCCACCAAATATGTTTTAGAGACTATACACCACTGGATATTGAAATGTCAACTTTTATGTCCTACAATTAGGGTTCACGATGACCATTTAATCACGATCAAAGTTGAATTGTTTTTATTACCATAATCTTGAGTGACTTTTCTTCGGTTTCATTATGGGTATAATGAATTATCCGGTTCAAAAGCAAACCGTATTTGGTTAGACGTTGCATTGGCTTCACTAAGAAATCATTAAGTTGCAGTCTGGAAATAAGAAAATAAAGACTCAAATAAGCTTCCACTTAACTATGTAGAACGGTACGGTCGAGTCAGTAACAGTATGTGAAAAAAAAAATGTACATATGAATTAAACTTTAAAATAGCAATTAAGAAAATAATTCTGCTTCTGTTATGATATTGAAAAATTGCTTTGTATTGAATTTAAATAATAGTAACAATCTCTGTAATAATTAGTATACTCGTTTTCATATAAAATGTTTCATTCATTTTAAAAAGAGTTTTCATTAAGAGATAAATTGTAGCGAAATAATTATCGCGAGTTGTTTTAGTTCTCAATCATTTGTTAAGGATGTACTGATACATTTTTAGGAGAAAATAATCATGTATATTTTCAACATAATGTTTAAATACCTATTGCATTCCCTACGACTGTGACACCACGAGAGATAGATGGAGTATTCGCTATCCTTTTGATTTTGACGGTTATATTCAAGAAGCTTGTTTTGATCTATCAAATACTTCTCATACGGAAGCATAATATCCTTAAATAAAGCGAAGCCCTCCCTCATCAGATCGATGTTGAAGCTAAATAAAACAAAATATTGTCTCAAATTAATCAGCTTAGATCAAGAGTACTTTACTTAAGAAGCAAAATTTGATACTTACGGGCTCGAATTCATGAGAGCGTCTTTTATCATAGGAACGAAAGTATAGTTCCACAAGTAAAGACTAGCGTTAAGCACGTCGGGAATGTTCGAGAACAACATTGAAGTATCTATACGAAGAAGTTTCCCCTTGGCTTGCAAGGCATGAGCCGCTCCCATAAACACCTGGTGATAATTATAAAATACCTAATTAACATGTACGTAACAAAGTTACCAGAATAATCGACGTTAAACTGAAGTAATGACGACGTGAAATGGAGAAATTAAGCGGTCGGATATCCAATTACAGCAATAAAATCGCTTACTCTATCTCCGGTTCGAAAAATTTCTAGAAAATTCCGATAACGATTTAAAGTACCGTTTCAACTAATTCGTTACGAGATATTAATCCCGTCTACACCTCATCGAGTCAGAACAATGGGTATAGCGATTGTTAAATCTCTTACTCATGTCTGTTTAACAGAAAATGTTTTTCTATTTTCCAGGCTTACAGTAATTCCCTTTATTCTCGAACGAACGACCATAATTGAATAGAACTCGCAAAGTCACCCCTTTCACTGATATTCATTTTAACGATCTGTTGACTCGTATCAGACGTTTAGTGAAAATCTTGATATTGTTGTTTAGAAAATATATATATAATAAAAAATTAATTATAACATCGCTACTAAAATACTTGTAACATTTAAAATATTCTTTAAATTTGATTGAATCATCGGAATATTAAATAAAATTTTAAATGAAAAGTTACATTTTCTTATTTTAACGGTTTATATTTGTAAACAGAATGATTGTTGCAATTTCAATTTCAAACCCAGACATGACAAGTTTAAATAAATTGACAGGTTTTTTTAATATATCTATAGTTTCTGTATCAACGGTCTGTGTAATATTCAACAGATGATATGATTGACGGGTCCAATTTAAAATTTCAAACGAGTAGGGATTTAAGCCGAAAGCTTTGGTCATTTGGATTCGGATTGTTTTTTTTTAATACAAATTGAAAAGTAGTTTACATTCTTTATAAAATTGTCATTGAATAATATCATTAATTACTGTTACTTTAATGTAATTATATATTAAAAATATTCAGAATATTAATTTGAAAATATCAGTATCACTTAAAATTATAATTTCGGTGTATGCTATATTTCCAATATACACTAAATGGCTGTTCAAGTTACCGGTTAAATGGCTGGCAAAATTTAATTTTCACTTACTACAGCGGTATCGGAGAGCAGTTAATTGTTAATTATTAGTACATCACTTTAAAATGTTACATATTAATTAAGTTCTTCATTTACAATCTAGTATATTAAAAATAAAATGTATTATGAATATAATTAAAAGAGAAGTGAAGAATTTGAAGAGTGGAAAAATAAGTTAATTCTTAGCTGAGTTGGAACGGTGTTTGATAAGATTCTTCACTTTTGTTAGTTTTTATTTAATCATTATAATGTATATAGGTCACCTGAGATTATCTTCGTTTCTCATTTAATTAATTTATTATCAAGAACGTGAGGATTTCAAATACTTTGATTAATTAGAAAAACCGACAGTAATATTATAATATTACATGAAAATTCACACTGTTTTAAGCAATTTTATGTTCGTTGTATTGCTAATAATGAATTCTTGACATTTAATATATATATGTGATTTTTTGTCCCTTAACTATACATAACTAACTTTCCGCCCGCAGCTTCGCCCGCGTGGAGTTCGGTTATATTGCGTTTCCAAGAGAACTTTTCAAAAGTCTGGGATAAAACTATCCTATATTCTTTCTCGAGGTCAACTCTATCTTTCTACTAAATTTCATTAAAATCACTTCAGTGGTTTAGACGTGAAAGAGTAACAGACAGACAGACAGACAGAGTTACCTTCGCATTTATAATATTAATAGGGATTATCTCTGTGAGCAAGTACACTTGTAAACTTGTATCGTACAAAATCTATTATCGATTTTTACTAGACTTCTTCATATTATCTCACCTCCACCAAAGACAAATCCCCGTAAATATTAACATCATCCTCTTAATAAACAAGCTCTTTAAGCCCATTGTTTTAGGATGTGTAAATTAATTTTAGTATGCACGAGCCGGGTACGACGTGCTTGTTAAAATTATATAAGAAAAGGTACTTATTACTTAATGAATATTTAAATATGTTTGTGTTAAGAAGTGATTGAAAGGATTCGATCATAATACTTTCGTTAAAAAAGGATGATAATAATTTGTGAAGAGTGTATTGAAACAAATGTGTGATTTCCCCAAACAATATATGCTCCTAGTAATGTATTTAACCCTAATATTAAAGTTTGTTAGTGATTTTGTCTTCATCTCTCACTCATGAAGTGTTGTAACGCCCTTCATATTATTAGGATTAAGCTTCGAGGAAACTGCGTCAGTATTATTGCTACTTTTGGTTGTATTGGGGAGTTTGGGATCTAAGTTACATGCAATAAGTAAACGAATGAAAATATCTATTATTATCCCGGATTTACTCACTTAGGTTTTAGTTATTGTAGCCGATAGTATACATACTTTTAAATATCGATTTCCTTACTATATTCAATAATAAGACACAATTATTTATCTTTCTTCTTCAATTTATCTTTTATATAAAAATCATATTTTATTTAAAACTTTATACATATTTTTGTATTATAAGAATAGAGATTCAAGATTGACGCGATATTTTAAGCGTTGCTTTTATCCATATAAAAAGTTCGAATATTTGATTATTTTATTCAGTAAGTATTAGCCACTGAAATTGAGTGATTATTCCTTGAGTCAACGAAATGCTTAAATCACGTGATAGTTTACAACATGAACAGCCCTTATCGATTTGAATGCAGCAATTAGGTTTGTCATTGAGGTAGACCTTTTAACCTGTTAACTTCAAGTTTAAGTAAAGTACTACACATTTTTCAGATTTAAATTCCGATTTGAATTTGAATTAATTTCATAAACAATTTGAAACAAAATAATGATTTAAAATAAAGTGCTTTTCACATTTGTGAGTAATGACGTAAATTAAAACTCCGAAGAATGTATAAAATGAAGATTAATTTCTTATAATATAATAATAATACCGAACTTGAAAAATCATAGTCTTAATTTTATTCACGATGAACAAAAATATGTTCAATAATATATATCATTCTGATAAATAGAAAAATACTACATGTATATTATTACAATTTAGAAGTAAAAAGTTAATTTATTGATATATATTTTTTAATTTGATTATCTTTACGATTTATTTCAGTTATAGAGCAGAAGACGATAATTTTTTATTCATGAAAACCTTCACTTTGAATATCAAATCGCACCGATTATTTCTTCCCCCGTATCGCATATTATATTTGTTAGTTTTCCACAATTTCGCATTGACCTAGTGCATTAATATTTTAGAAGTGTCACGTTTTATTTTATGGATTAAAAGAAATATTATAAAGGACGGTACTCTCTATTATATTTAGGAACTATAACTTACCTCAACAATCGCCATCAGATGTTTTATGTAGTCAGCTTCGGTAAAAATTAGTTCCCTGATGACCGCCTGCCGTGACCCCTCCTCAGGAGTCAACACTGACAAATAATCTCTATTAACAAACTATTTTTATACATATTTTACATATTATAATTAAAATAGATTCTATTACAGTAGAAAACGTAACTATCAGTCACGTTTCTGTCATAAAACCCTTTGATGATTTTTTATTCGATATTATCTTATGGATTCGGAGATATTTTTAAAGTGGTCTGTCTTAAAATTTAAAGGGCAGAATCGTGTTTTCAAACGAATGAAGGCACTTAGTTGAATTTATTTAATATAACAATATTTGATTTGAGATGAATTATACTGATTGGAATGTTAATAATTAACAGAAAAATTATTGGGCCATTCAATAAATGGTATACTGTCCAGGCAACGGTAATGGATCGACTTAATTTTACGAGTTTATTATTCGTTGCCTCGTTAAATCATCGTTTATCAAGATCGGAATAATAGTTACATTTAGTCTTGTCGATGCTGAGCGTATTTTGTTTGTAATCACGGAAGGTATGGTATGAGATAACTATGGAACTATTCCGTTGCAAAAAATTATGTTTGTATTGAAATAGAAGCTGAATAAATCTATATATTAAAGAGTTTTTATATGTAAATCAAACTTTTCTAATAGAGCCGGAATATACATTAATTTGGGGAATCAGAGTGGACATAGGCACTGAACTAAAAAGTATCTAATCTCCTTTTTTTTGTTTTATATAGAATGCGTTCTTTGTTAGTAATATCAAATGCACTATTATGGAAACTCCAAAAAATCTAATTCGTAGTTTTAGAGATAAAGAGGAACAGAAGGACGGATTAACACACGAACAAAAAGGAGCTTCTTTTCTACATCTCTCTTAGTGTCCACAAAATTTTTGATATACATATTAGTTCTACGTAGAAACGAAACACAACGTAATATTATTTAAATATTATATAAACAAATGCATTAAATTTAAAGAAGATAAGTAATAAATTTCTTTTAAAATTCATTCCTTTTTACAAAAATTTTAAATGGAACATCTCGTTTACACGTTGAGGATTGGTAGCACGTTGTTAGAAAGCCGAGTTAAAGTTACGGTCATGTGCAGACCGTGTCATACACTCAGAGGAAATTGACTGCATACTATTAGAAATATCTCCTAGTGTGACATAAATCGTAAATTTTAACAAGATGCATGTAAATTTTAACAACGCTGAGAGCGAAATCTTTTAACCACGGTACTTACACGTCTAGAGCACTACGATTTATAAAATTGTGTTCTTTAAAGCAACTGAATATTCTATATATAATAATAAGTTTATATATTGTATCAAAAATTATATTAAAATCTGCATGTTATGATTTAGAATGCTTGCAAGAGATGAATTAGATATCAATTTATTATTAATAAAATATTTAAGACAAAAAAAATGCAAAAGCTTTTATATTTGTCAGAAAAATTTTAATGAAAAATTCGAGCGGTAATGTAAACGTCTTTGTCGGGAATGTTATGAAAAAGTTAAAAAAATTACATCCAATGGAAAGCTGTCAAGAGGTTGAAAGCAAGGAATGTCTGCCGATCGTCTAGAATGGCTCACAAATTACATTTTAAATAAATTAAGGTTATAATTCATTAAGTTATCAGATTCTAACCTAACAATTTCACTTAACTTCTTGAGGGGATCATAACGTCTTAAATTAAGGATATAATTCTTTATTATTGTGGGCATTGAATCATCTTACGACACCTATTGTGTGTAATTGGTTTTACGTCAGAAAAATTGTTACCGAAACTTTATTCGGCTATACTCTTCTTCTACCCGGCAATTTCCCAGCTTTAGCCAGGGTCTACCTTACATGTTGTGAATAGTTTTGACTAATTGTTTTTACGACCGGCCGCCTGCCTGACATCAAACCTCTTTGGGAATGCATTAATCAGTGATGTCTAAATACTCTCAGAAAGTACATATGACTCGGAAAAATCACATTGGTACTTGCCAGAGCTGGTATTGAACCCGCTCCTTCGTGCATGAGAGGCGGGCCTTTTAACCACTAGGTCACCACTGACTTAGTATTCGGCGATACTATTATTGCAAAACAAATTGCAAATTAATTAATTCAATTTAATAACTTAATATAATCAGTTTTAAATATAATTTAATTTATTTTTGGTCTAAAATGAATTTCATTACAACGTTAAAGGCTACTTAGAGTGAAAAACATTTCATGCCGCACCAAATGCTCGGAGTGGAAGTTAATTTATTTTATGAGAACACGGTTTTATGTAAAATGGTGGCTCGCTATTTTAAAAGTGAGCATCAATGTCAACATTAAGTGACACTTTAGCGGTTTTTTTTTTAATTTAATGATTTCATTTTTAATATTCACACTTGCGTTTTGACCGTGGCTTGCTGGTTTGAGAAAAGTTTGACTTTTTACTATCGCTCTTGCTTCTTATTTCATAGTAATATACTGTAAGCCTTACTTTAGCTTTACCTCACTTTTTTAACAATATATGTATAGAAACATATTTTCAATTTAATTTGAGGTGAAAGCTTACTAATTATATTAATTGTATATAAGCCATTACAGTTCTGATTGTTTCGTTTATTCTAAATTTATTTCCTAGACGTACTAGATGATAAATAATTTAATAGAAACTATGCTTTTATATAAATTCGAGATTCCAAATGTATCGCTTCAGTGAGCAATTTTCTCGGTCCAAAGAATTCATTTCATAAAGAGAAAAATCCAAAATTTAATATGGTAGTGTATAGAAAAAGTTAAAAAGGAAGGACCCAATTTACTATTGTATGCATATATTATGAACGTGACAATTTGTTGTGCCAGGTGTTAGAGATTTTCTACATATGTGCTTTATGAAAAAAGTGCCTTAATAATGCTTGCAACTGTATACTTGTATGATTGTAGTATAGTACTGATTGTCCTCTAAGAAAATTTAGAAGTTATGAGTGATATTTTATAGCAATTCGTGAAAAAGATTCGAATCTAATATTTAAAATCCTATTATTTTGAAACTGTATTAATCCTTTTCGTAGTGGCCTGAAATCTTTTAGCGGTGTTTCTTTCCTTGGTTAGTACAAATATTTTTTTGATGTAATGAGAGTGAAGTCACCATTAGTTCAACTTGTTCATACAAGTTACGGTCTCTGTCATTTTTCATTTTTCTTACGAAATTGTTAATGTCGCAAATTTGTGAGACGGAGTAATCTATTTAAGTACACATGCAGCTACAAAATAATTTTGACAGCCTCCTTCATAGATGAAAAATTATACAAACTTGGATGCGTTGGGTAAAACAAAATAATTTTTAATGAATTTAGATTTTTTTGTTCTTAGTTTTTGTTTTTGAAAAATTAAATTTTACAAATATCAAGGCCGTGACAGTTAAGGTGAGATAGACGAAAATAATGTCGTTCTAAGGTAAAATTTTATGAGAGATTTACGAAAAAAAGGTATTTAATTATAAAGGTATTGAAATGGGATAGGTGTTATAAAAATCTGTAAATATTGCAAAAAAAGAATTCAGAAAATAATTAAATTATTTCTAGTTATTGACAGCGACCATTAAGTCATTGCTATACCAATATTCCTGGCAAATCTATGTCATGTATTTTTACGGCACTTTTGTCTTGTGTAACATATGGTTTTTATGATAATAGCAATTTTATGATAGTACTTACATTTCCAATCATAAAACTCGTCTATGGCTTGCTGTTTCGAGGCCCATTGGAGGTAAGCGAAAGCCTCTTCAGGGATGTCAGCGATGTCAAAGCCTTGGAGCACCGGCACCCCGTCACGGTTGAAATCCGCCAAAATGTTAGACAACTCATTATGAGCCTGAAACATTACTCGGTTATCATAATGACCTCACAATGCAGCATTTGGTCATTTGTTGCTGCTAATAGAGACGAAGTTAAGTCTTAAATGAATTAAAAAAAATGTTCTAACTAAACTGACCAACGACTATTTTGTTCATGCACTAGCCGTGTTTACACTATCTCAAAGATTAAACATATAAATTGACTTTTAGATTATGCTGAAAACCGTTAAATTAAGGGATCAATTTAAGAGTATTCTTTTGCCCTAGTAGTTCGACCCTGCCAATGCTTTAGGCTAATGTAGTGGGGCGCCAGATATATAATTTCGTATACATATAATATGTTTTTCCAAGGATTTTTACAAAGAAACATTTTAATATTGAAATTATAAAAAATTACAATGGAAGTTTTTTTTAAATATCTAATTTAATTACTACAAAAAAAATAATTATGAACATACGACGAGTATACCTAATATAACTTTTCTACAGTCAATACAATTCTTTTTCTAGTATATTCCGTGCTTAGACTCCTCCTAAATTATTTGGCCATTCATCGCTCAATCTAAATTACACTTAATGGGAGGGTAAGGATTGTATTGTATCTAACTTTGCTTTTCTAGAAACAATTAGGCGATACTATTACTAGATTAGAAATGATCTTTTTTTAAGGCCATACAATTTTTAGTTCTATAATAATTCATTTAAAATACTGGAATATAGTCGAGGAACTATTGCAATTAGTCAGTTAAAACTTCGAAAACTTCAGAATGAGATACTACTGATCTCCATAATCTGGGACGAGTCAGCAATGGAAACATTGTGTAGCAAACTGTGCCAGGCTATTCCCAAACGCTGGTCATAGTAATTGAGACACCATGAACTCACCTAACACAATACAAACAATTTACAATTCAAAAGTAATTTGTATTTTCGGCTTCACTTCATTGCTATGAGACTGAGACTCACAGAATGTGTATGCAAAATAAAGTAACAATAATATTTTATATAATATATAGTTTTATATTCTTTTTCGTTATATACTATTTGAACTTGATTTAATTCCTTATAGTTTCGTATTTATAAATCAATAATAATGTATGTAGAAAAAATTAGAATGGAAACTTTTTAAAAAAAATCTACGTTATTTTAAAAATAAACCATTTTCCGAATAATTTACTTTTTGAACGTATACAAAAACTACGGATTCTCGTCTCAGTTGCAAGTCTTATCCTTAACAGCTTGTATCATAGTTGATTTGACCTATTATATTGACCTTTATTTGGCATTTCCATTATGGATTTCTTTACTTTATGTTGTATAAATTACCCAGTGAAACATTTCTTACTTATAATATTAAATTGCGTAAATAATTCCGTTTATAAATTTAAGTTATGAATAGAAGTATCACGCTTTTGATTCTCGTTAAAACTGTATTGATGATATAAATATTACGTTGAATAATTTCAATTATATATAGAAGAAAATCGTTAAACGAATGTCTGTGGGTTGAGCTTGTAATTTGTACAGTGATTTGAATTATAAAACCTACAAGTCTAGACCGAATTCGGAAAGAATACGCCGACATTTACATTTAGTCGATTCGAACGAATTTCATAGTTAACAGAATGCGAAAGAGCAACGGGACAGTTTTTAATTACGTAGCTGATATGACAATTGGAATTTTTCAATAAAATGTGCATACATTACTCGACACCCCTTTCGTATGAGTGGAGTAATCGATCGGCCGTTTATGGTACTTCAAAAAGCACCGGTCAAATTTTGTCCGGACACAATATATTACTATCTCCATACCTAATATATTTTATATTGTACCAGCTCGTATAAGTTACTCTATTGACATAAAAGGATCAAAGATGTTTGACATTATTTACAATAGTCATTTTAATATAATAATCTATTGAAATTAAAGTCTGTGTCAAATAAACATCGTGTATACGAAACACGACTGAATGTACGATTCTTGGACAAATAATGCGTCCCTTTTTGGTTTGGCCTCCATTCAAAATGATGGCGACCGCAGATAAAGGCCATTAAGGTTCGGTTATACTTATTTTCCTGACCATTCGTCTTTTTTAATTATGAAAAGAATAACATTCCAAATGTTTATATTGGGTAACATAGTTTTAAATTTTATTCCTGAACTGGAAATAAACAATGATATATTGTATATAAATTCGTCTTAAATATACTTTCGCAATATCTATAATATAAAAATATTAAATAATTGTCTACATACTATTTCTACTTTCTTTACTTTTTAACAGCTTTTAATTCTGTTTTTCTTGTTCTTAAATAAAGACTAAATCTACGTGTCATGCAGTGCAATGTTTATCAATTATTAGAACGAAAAGGAGGTAAAATATTCCGTAACCAAAATTTTATGGCACGGGAAAGCTTTATTAACTATAAAATTCAACATAAAATGTATGTACCACACAACAGCGTTACACTGGTGTAGAATAAAAAAAAAATACTAATATAAAGACACAAATTATTAAACAATTAATAATAAATGTTTTGAATCTAACGTGCTCCGGGATAAAAAATGTATCGGTAAAGAAAATAAACAGATATTACTCGAACTAATTACATGCAGATCTAAAAAGTGATTATTAATTATTAATGAAAATAACGCAAAATAATAAACCAGCTAGCTCATCTTTAATATAAATGTGGGCGCATGCTTCGTTGTAATAAGGTATTTACAATAGGTGCGAGTGATAATGGACATTGGACACCTAATGCATGCGACTTACAGCTTCCCCGCAAGGAGAGATGACTCCGGGTTTAGCCGGGCTTTGACTGCGAGATCGCTCACGTATTAGAGATTTCATGTTTATGTTTATTACGGCTGTACCTGTATACAAAATATTCATATAACAGCATGACTTACAATATCTTTGCTGTTAATGAAGTTCCCTTTGTTATTTTTGTATAAAAGTTGCTATGAAAATTCCATTTTTCTACAAAATCAACGTTTAAAAATAGTTTTTAAGGTGAGGCGATATTTTTCTGATACGATTTATATCAAAGGTATGTTTGGATGGAATGTATGAGCGTATTTGTTCGTTCGTAACAATAACTTGCATGTAAAAGGTTGCTTGTAAATATTATGAGGAGGTAAATCAGGTTGATGGGGTCAATGTTATAAAACAACGGGTAGGGCCACCCTCTAGATAGTGGACAAAGGTTCCTTGAAATGCACAATGACCAAGTTACAACATCCGGACTATAGCACTAGTGGTTTTCATTTCCTTACAAAAATGCTTGATTTAATATAATGAAAGCGTTAAGCGTTCTTTAAATTTTTGAAACGTAATTATTTCTTTTGTTCGACATTCGTAATTGAGAGTTAAGGTTTACTGGAATGGTCTGTTACGAAACCGAAATTTAAGTTGAAATCACATTTTGTGTTAAACATACCAAGTATGATATTATTATTGAATGAAATGGAAAGTAAATTTATTTTTCATGTTACAGCTTATCGTGTAACATATGGAAATATCGTTTGTGTTGACAAAATTATTGTTTCTTTTAAATAGCTGTAATCTTTGTTCGTCTCTTTGGAAGGCTTTGTGTTATTAATAATACTGGAATATTTTTTAATTGAATTTATCGTCTTTTTATCGGATGGTAAATATGTGTGAACAATAATGTTTTATGTAAGCAATATTTAGAATTGTATCGCAAAGTCGATGTTCGATTAAAATTAGGATTTTTTTTACCTCAACTAATGAGTTATGTGCAGGAAAAATATGGTTTAGGGTGACCGAGCAAAGGTCTGTCGCAAATAATTATATGTACATTACAAGTAATAAAAAATCATTGTAGTAATGTAAAAATAAAAGTGTTAAAATAGTGAAAGTGTAAACAAATAAGTGTATCTTGGTATGCTGAATTCAAGTTGGTAGAAAAATAATTAAAATTATCATAAATAGATACATAACACATAATAATATTTAGGGATTTTGGTCGATAATCTATAAATTAAACTTGCATGAGTTAAAATTGTATATTTATAAGAATTTTATAATAAATTACAAATAATTTAAAGTTAAAAAAGACACATTTATGCTATGCACTTATTAATATCTACAAACGTTATTACAATATTTAATATATATGAAAAAGTATAAATGACAAAGGAATAAGTTTCAAGTTTTTCATAGACTTCACTATGAAACGTATTAAAAGTTTTTTCTTAGCTTATTACTTAATACAATTATGTTATTATGACTGTACTTAAAATTAATACATATGTAATGAATGAAAAAGTGAACATGAATGATTATAGAATTATTAAATTACATTTTTAATGAATGTAAATTTATATTATAATAATACAATTTCTGAATTAATTAATGGTTTGAATGACAATATGATTTTCTTTTACGCTTACTTGTGATACAAAATATGAGAAATATTCCTAAACAATGTTAATGAGTTGATGAGACATTTGATCTTCGGTAATGAATTAGTTTGTGGATGATATAATATGATTGATAACATAGGGCTTTGATGAAGATGGTGATGAAGAGTTTAGGATGTGGAACATCATCAACATGATCACCTCAACCTTATAATTATCAAGTATCGGCGCTGCTATACTTCTTACGTTGATGAAGTTACATCAAGAATATACGATGAAGTGATGATCATAATTAGTTTCAAATATTTTCAAAGTCATCAAGGCGATCCGGATTGAAATCAAAATTCTTGAATATATTACTAATAGCGTAGTATCTTATTTAAGTATCTTCATAAGTCTCAATGATTTGTATGAAGATTTTCAGCAACAGCAAAAGTACAAGAACTAGGACAATCACGAGCGCTATTATCAGCACTAGTGCGAGAACTAGTACTAATACCAGCAGCAGCACCATCAGCAAGATCAGCAGCAGCGCCAGCATTACATACAGCGCCGGCACCAATACAAGTAGCAGCAAAATCTCCAGTATAATGAAGATCGCCTTCACCGCCGCCAGTCTGAGTCTCAGTATGAGCCTCATTCTCATTCTCAGTCTGAACCTTCGCATCAGTATCAGCAACAGCGTCACCATCATCAGCATCGTCACCAACACCTCAACACCACAACAACTTTATTGAGGCGGAACGCAACGTAACAAGTACATATGTACGGCTGTTAATAATCCGTCATCAACGCGCGGTAATCATGATGAGTTTGATGAAAACTCATAGAATAACTTTCATCGATTAATGAAACGATGAATTTATAATGAATGTGAAAATTTTAATGATTTTTTATAGTTTTTTTTTATTATTGATTGAATAATTTAAAAATGATTCATCATTTCCTAGCTTCTTTATCATCAGGACCTCAACTTTATTTTAATTAATTAATTAGTTATTAAAATTAACGGATAATTGATTTTTTTTTCATTAAATGTATGAGCATCCGAATATCCATCATAGCTTTAAATGTCTATAAAATATTTTATAGTCTTCTAATACCATGTTAATATATAATTTAATTAATTAATATACTCATTATTCATAAATTAATTATACTTTTATATCAATAAAATTTAATCTCACCTATAGTGAGATCTAAAACTTTCGCGAGTATTTATTTATATAAAATATATATATATATATTCGAATTATTACGCTTTATTTTATTATTTTAATGAACTACATACGCCCGACGTTTTCAGCAACCGTGATTACGAGTCGATGAAATGAGAATTATTTAACTAATACCATTTTTAAAAGTCCTTTTATATTTAATAGTATATTATTTTTCTTCACTAATTATAATCATCAAAACTCGATATTCAATTAATTTTTACTATTAAATTTATATATTTACTTTATTAATATTAAATACAAACTATCTCATAATAACGCGTCTAAAACAAAGAGAATCGTGTTTCTATACGATGGATGGGGATGAACGAAGGAAATTTACAGAGCGCTCCGACAGTATTTGTATTCGATTTAACTTTTCATTTAAACATATTTATAAAATGCTTAAAATCCTTTATATCATTACATTGCAAATTTATTTATAAGACAAATTGAAAGTATCAAAGTATGATGTTAAATATTTCATAACTTTCAGCGGTTGTGATCAAGGTGAAATTTAATTACTTTCATTTTAACTGTGTGAATCAACTCATGTTACGAAGGGAAGTAATGCGGTTCGGTTCAATTCGGTTTCGGTTCATCTACAATTTTCAATAAAAATGAAGCGAGATCGAGTTGCAAAATTATCATTTGTTAGCCGGCTCCCTCAAAATTAGTTAAGCCAGCCGCTATTATTCCGTATCCAATAATTTCCGTGCATCAAATAACGGACGATTCTCTGATCAAACATGTTTTATTAACTCAACATCAGCCCTACTCCCGTTTCCGTTCTTTAAATTACGTAGCTTATAAGTATAACCCTTTGACATTTTACTATCCCGACGTAACTTTTAATATTAACAACACATTATTACGCGATTCGGATACAATATAATTAAATTTAAATTAATTGAAATTGATAATTAATAACTTTTTTAAACTTTACAAAAATTTTTTCATTTAATTTTTCATTAATGTAAAATTATACTTTTCATAATATCAATTTTTACAAAACAACAATCGAACAGTCGCAACAGAAAAGCAAAAATGTAAAACAACAGCATTTTATTCAATAATATTTATCATTACAATAAATTAATATAAATTATTATTAACATGATATTTAAACTTTTCATTATATTTCAATGATAATTCGCCCGTATTGCTTTTGGTTTTCGTAAACATTTTATTTGTTAAAAAACTAAATAATCTAAACTATAAACTCACACTCAAGTAAGATGATAAAATATTTCACAATTTTCAGTAGAAAGTTGAGGAACTGTTGATTTAAACCGCGATTTTTATCGTACTGAATGATTTGAATTTCCCGATGTTCAGCATTTACGAAACAAGATTTACGCAAAGGGATGTGATTTTACAGCGGGGATTCGATAAAATCAAAAGAATTTTATTATAACCATCTTGAAACAGCACTGAATTTTTATTTAAACACATAAACTAAAACTTTTATAAGTTTAAAATATATTTAAACGGATATTACGATAAAATTAATTTATTAAAAACTTCGATATTAAAATATAAAGTTCGCAAAAGACTTTTAAATACGGATTTCGTAAAATAAAACAGACGAAAGAAATAAAGCGCACGTTTAAAAAAAAAAAAAATTCACGAAAATGTTGAACAAAGTTGCCGCACTTACCTTTCGTTGAGGCGGGTGGACTTGTTGACTGCTTGGCGGCCACTGAACAACTGGTAAAGTTAATAGACCCTTAGCTTACTTATATACCCCAAAAGCTGCGCTGCAATTTTCGCGCATATTTTCACGGTCCCGCCTCCCATGCATTTGCATTTCAAAGGCTATTTTTCACATCAAATATTTGCCGTAAGACTGATTTTACATTTTATGATATTAATTTTTAGTTCGTCGTAATATTTTTAATGTATCGAGTTATTCTTTAGTAGAGTTTTATATGATTATTGTTGAGATGGTTTTCAATATTCTTAATGATTGTTAATATATAATATTAAATGGAAATATATACTTATGTACACTTTTTGAATACAATTTTGACGTGTTATATGAGAACCTTAGCACTGTCTTAAACAAAAATACTTTTAAGAAAATATAATAATAATTAAAGTGAATTTACTATTTCAAATTAAGGCTAATTATTTTCTTTCTAAGCGTCAGTTATTTCATTGCATTTGAAAAAAGATGTACATTTAAATTAAGGAATTGATATGTTACAGAAGTATAAATTTAATTTCAATATTATTTATATTAAAAAATGCAGTGGCTGTGTAAACAGGGGTTTACAATAACTTTGTTCTCGACAAATCATCGAGATTCAAATACAACGAGACGTTACTAGTAATTTAAACCTTGTAACTACGTTTTTTGAGTTCAGTTTCGAAGTCTTGAAATTCATATTGTAGCATTTATTTGCAGTGTATGAGAGAGAAGTATATAAATGTAACTTGTAGATGAAATAACTTATCAATTTTTTTTTTATTTTCAATGTGTATTGTATTTCAGAGATTATAGGAGTAATTAGTGTTTCAATACACTTAATATGAGTGCTTACTCTAAGTTGCATTCGAGGAGTGTTAACATTTTATTCATAAATCTTCTCACTTTAGTACTAGACGGGAAACGGTACGTATGCAGTGTGGTCATACGAACTCGGACTAAACATAATGGAATTAAAAAAATATATGCACGTAAATGTGTTAAAGTTATATATCAAGTATGTAATAATAATAATGTTCAGTTTTAAATCGTTTTAATGTGTTCTTGAATTACTTTATTTTCATTCAAATAGAACTGAGAGTGATATTTTTGTACCATTTCAAATATTTTTCAATTAAGTGTGCATCAATTAGTCTGTAGACTAACCTACAGTCCGCGGCGAGGGTCCGTTATTTTATACGGAAATAATATGTTTTTAAAAATGCCATTGTTAACGAGTGCTAAAAAATTTAATGCAGCTAATAATTTCTGCATTTACAGAGGTAAGTGATATTCCTAACTAATTAAATTATTGATGGAATGGTCTTCTGAAAACTATGATTAGTACTTAGTGTAAAAGTTGAATTAAGTATGTTACACAAATATACCAAATTTGGTAGGACTTTTAAGTTTTATATTTAATTTATAAATTAAAGTTATGTTAGAATATAATTTTATAAAACTGAGTATGTTTCAATCGTATCGTTTTATTTTATAACGTAGCCGTTATAACGTTTTAAGTGAAAAACTATCTAGACGCTTTTGCTGTCAGACAAATAAAGGAAAGTTGAATCATTAGTTAGCCTATAGGGGATAACTTAATATCCTACTTCTCTTTCGAATTAACTTTTATATAAAAAAAATTACGAGTAAATTATGTTTATTAGTAACATAATTTACATAGTAGTATCTAAAAATCCATTATTTTACTGAAAATTTGCTTCCTATTTACATAAAAAATATAATTGAAAAGCACTTTGTTATACTTGAAATGCTTTTAAACAAAAAGGTATAGAAATAATGTGAGAATTGTAAAAAAAAAGTAACCCAGTTTCCTTCACAATACAAAATCCTGTTTTAATTAACAACATTTTCTTCAAGAGAGGCCACGTAACAACTAAGTGAGAAAGTGCACAGCGCAATATGTTTTTCCTTTATCACTTTATTGGAAATAGAGTACTGTAATGGGAGAAGAAGTGATTAAGGCTAGACTTTAAACAATTTTCCTTGAACTAAGAGACTCACTTAGATGCTAATAGGCCCTGTAACGTTAAATACAGTTTTAACTAAGGTAAAGAAATGTAAAGAGAAAATTTATATGCATTAAATTATGCACGTCGCTGTATTCAAAGAGAGTTTTTTATGTAGTTAAAACTTAGAATTTTAATGCTTCTATTTTAACATAATCATGAACAGTGTAAAGATTTTTATTTAATACATGAACAGGATATAAAATATAAAAATTACTATTAGCTTACATGATACGAAAACCGAAAATATTGTAGGTTTTTTTTTCATAGAATAATTTTTCTATATTAAGACTGTCAGTACTGAATAATTTTGCTTTAGTAATAATATTTAACGAAACAAGTTCTAGGTTCAAGTCAAGCCAATCAAAAACGTATAAGTCGATCGATTTTCATTTCTTTTTAATACTTTCAATTTATTAAAAACTTTTAGGCGATATATAATTATAATATATATAATCTTCATATTTTTTTGTATTATATAATACTTTTCTGTTAATACATTTGCCATTGCCACGTTTTTATAACAAAAAGATATTATTGAAATCATTTCATTATTAAATATACCGAGTGGAAACAAAACTGAAAAGCAAATATAAAATCCGATATAAATTCTATTTGAGTCTCAAAGGTTGGTTGAAAAGTTGTAGTGACTTTAAAGGGATATTTATACATGCATTCAGACCTCGGGTAACAAAGCAGGCTGCATTTATCAGATTTCCGGCTCGATACGATATTCAGACAGTGTAATTTGGTTTACGTGGATGTACCTACACTGAATTTGATATAATAAAAAAAGATTTATAGGTGATTAAAAATTATTTAACAATTTCGTTTCTATGAAATATGTAGATTAGAGAATCGATATTTCAGGTATGGAAAATACAAGTAAAGTTTTTTTGTTTAAATTTCTTAAGTCAATATTGGTGTTGTTATAATTTTATTAAAGAAAAAATATGTTTTGTTACTATTAAATCAAGTATATTACAATTAATATAATTGATTGTTATTGGTTGTATAGGACTTATGAGCTCAGGTCCTCTGTAATACTATTAACAAAATGACAATGTGACCTCAGAGCAGACTATGAAGGCTTTAAAACAGATGTCTGACGACAATACTTGTTTTATAAATAACATAAGCAGCTTATAATATAAATATAATTGTAATATTTTGTAACAGACATTCAAGAAAATTATATTTTCTAACAAAACTCACTTTATATAAAAGATATACTGAAGTATTGAAGTTTGTTTCATTACAAAGAAGATCAGATTATGAAGAGATAAAAAGAAGACGAGAATATTTCTAGTTTTAATCTAGATTAAAGAAAAATTAAAACTGTCGAAAGGTTTAATGATTGAATAATAATGAAAGCAATTTTCCTCTTACAATCACTTCCATTTTAGTGCAAAAATAACTAAGATTTTAATTACCCATGTCACTGGATGCGGTTCTGTACGGACAAAAGCAATATTGGGACAAAGTAATTTCGAATATAAGATAGAAAGAAAGCTTTCAAAGGTGCTCCAGACACCTGAAATCCTATTGAAATAGAATGACATATTGATTTCGAAGATTCTGAACGCACAAAGTGAGTATAGTTCTCGCAGAGTTGATAGGATTTACGTGTGTTCGAGTGCATTTGAGATGGAACTAACAAAAGGAATTTTTCTTAAGCTTTAAATATAATGTATTGGATATTGAATTTTTGATTAAAATGACTCCCAATGGACATCGTGAGTGACTTACCTCGTTCTCTTGGAACTGATTTCTCCTTCTGTAACTTGAGTCGTGATATCTCATCAGCTCGTGATCATCCCCGGACACAGCTCTCTGATATGATAATTTCCTATTCCTAATATCCTGTCGATTGTACAACTCGTTTTCGGGTATGCTCGAGAAGTCTTGATATGAGTGACAACTCTGTAACTCCTTGCTTTTTTCATCTTGAATTAAACGCCTAAAGTAATTAGTAAGCCCTTCGCTCGCTACCCACGTAACTCTGAAACATTTAATTATAATATCATTTCCAACGCGATATTGAAAACTTAATTATCTTTATGCTCGGTAAAAAGTATTGCAATATCAATTAAAAAAGTATATTTAATCAAACAGTAATATCTTCTGTCTGAGCGTTGTAGCTAACCATTTATATACGAGTATTAGCTTCTATTTTAAATAAGTGCAAAAAGGTCGTTTTATATTTCTAATTACGCAAATGAAAATATGCATTGAGCACCATCTCAGATATATGTAGTACATATTCTTTTACTACTATAATGTAATTAATTTATTATATGTAATAATACGTAATTCAAAATCAATTTAAATATCTTAAAAACATTGAATATTTTCTGACTCTTTGTTTATTAATCTGTATATAATATGTTCTGCTTTATAACATGAAATTATATAAACGAAATTTTCGTTGCGACTTCATAAATGTGGTCATGATCCGCCATTGCATCGGATAATAATGGTTTACCACAGAACTGATGTACACTGAAATAATACATTACCAAATATGTTTTTATAAAATATAATATATTAGTTGTAATTGAATATTAAGTTGTTATCATAACACTACTTGATTGGGAGCTATTTCATTGGTATTACATCCCAGCTAGACTATTCAATCGATCGGCGATTTTCAACGTACTCTTTAATATAAGAACAAAAAACAATTCATATTTAACTTAAAGAGATAAAAAATATATAATTTTAAAGAGTACATATGTAATAAGTATTGTGGAAGTATTTTTTCGAAATAGTTTTTCATTCTTTAACAATTTTTCTAGACGAAAATAGAACTAGATTTGAATAGGATTTGAATATTGTAATGTTGCTTTATGATTAGCTTGTAAATCTACCTGTTAGAACGGGATGCTTTTGTACGGCTCCGGCCAAGTGGCAAATCCAAACCTGAACTCATCGAAATAGCCCGAGAATTTAGCATCGCTTCTTTTAGATAAGCCTCGTTCAAACCTGAAATAGATTTTATATGATAAATAAGCAAAGAGAAATATTATATGAAAACCGTATGTAGTTTTAAATTAAAATAGTTTGAAAAAGTAATTTGTTCATACAAAACTAATGTATGCAGTCATCTATTTGAAATATAAGAAAGTTTTTATGAAATTTCAGTGTTAGTTGCCTCTTTAGTATGAAATGTGTTCATAAAGTTAAAATATATATAATAAAATGAAATTTAAAACTCGTCGCGTTTGAAAAGTCAAAATTTACGAAATCAGATTTTATAGTTATATGAAAATAGTGTTAATTAAGTTGACGTTTCAAAGGAGTCTATCAAATTATTAGAAACGATTTACACTGCTCGACCTGATAGTCGAAATGATTGTTCAGGGAATTTTATTTAAAACTTATTTATTTCTAAAGCATCATTTTTTTTCATTAAATATATTAAATAGCATTCATATGCCTGGGTGGTTTCAAAGGACATGTATAGGAATGGTTGAGACGTCTTCATCTTCAAACTCCGTCTTAAAATACTTACTATGTACACTGTTAGAATGCAAGTCTTCGAGAGTTGAGTTTGAGAGAGCGTGTAGGGCTGGCTGACTTCCTGCGAAGCTATGTTCCGAGGTATCGCATGATTGAACACTCTGTCTCATTGACAGACTGGAATTACTACGACCCATCGATGATACAGTATGCAGGCTCATACTCGCGCTCAAAGCATCCTGGGTTTAATTGTTTATATGAGAATTATATATTAATTTAATTCCTATCAACTTTTACGTCGTACAGAATATATTAAACAGGGTTACCATTCTAAATTAATATTTTGGTTTAGTTTTGAATGGATATACTATAACTTTAATTTGAATTGAGTTAAAATATTTTTTTCTAAATGGTATCTGATTATAATAAAGATATCGTTCAATAGTTTTATAGTTTTAATCTGTTTCCTTATAAAGTAGATAAAAAAAATACATATAATAATTATATGTAGTGTAGCGGTGACATTTGTACCAATAGTAGGGATGAAAACTACCAGGACTTACGGTTGGACAGACAGATGGCCGGCGGCCAAAACTATCGAGAGTATTTAGACATATCTATTCCAAGAATTCCGAAAATCTCTCCGTTCAAAACACGACATCACTGTACTATTAAATTCTACTGATTTATTAGACTTAATTATAGACTTTTAATTGAATTATAGTAATTAATAATTGAATTAATTCTTCGTCTCTAAAGCATTTAAAAAAGAAGAGTTTTGTATATGTGTATAAGATTTTTTACGTACCTGTTCACTATATGATAAATTTGAAATTTATACTGAATATTTTTAAACCGTTCATCAATTATGAATGAACATTTAAACATATATAGATTACAACTATAAACATTTGTTTTAAGATGTATTGAATAATCGTATAACACATACATTTTTGCATAAAACTTTGTACGTATATAAAATTTTGTCACGATATTAAATACAAAAATCTATATTCATTTACCTTCTTCTCAAATCTATAAAATTTTATACTAACAACGTATGATAAGATCAAATTAGTTTTACGTACAATATTAGTTTTATAACTCTTCCTCTTATTAATGTTGATAAAGTTTGTAGATTTAAATTAAAGCGTACAAAGAACCTCTATATCCTTATAAAGAGCCTCGCGTTATTAACCGTACATTATGAGATAGTTTAAACTGCGATTTATACGTACTATTAAATTGAATAGAGGATTTTATATATAGTGGTGCAATTATTTTCAATGCTTGAAAACAAAAACGAAATTAAGAAAAGTTAAATAAGAAGTCTTTATTAACTTTTCGTTTATATTAAATATTATTTTAAGACTTTGAATTATTGAAATAAAAGGATTACCATTTTAATATAAAATTTCATTACACTTCCACATCCTAAATGTGCAGTTGAAAAAAGTAAAAGAGTATTATTACACGACAAAAATGTACGTTCGGGAGTTTGAAAATTCATTTCTATTATTTCTGTTATTTAAAATGGGCGGTGTAGTTTTCATTTCAGTTACAGGTGAGCTTCGAAATATTCGCTTTGTCTCGTCAATTCGGTAAAATCCGAGATATGTTGCATCGCTGGAATTTAGCAATAACTTCACTACGAAGTAATTCGAGACCGACGATGAAAAATATAAGCCTAAATAAATACATAAAAATTTGATAGAGCAATGTTCAATTTTGAACTATTTCAAACGTTTCCATTCTATTGATTGATTCGCTCTTTCAATCTTTGATTTCTTCGTTCTCATTCATATTTGAAACGTAATGACTTGAAGTAAAGGTTGCTAGTGTTAAACTGTCAATCTGTCTATACTTCTAAGTTGGAATCATATCAGATTTTCGAAATGAATTATTGATATAAGTCTATTGATTACTGTGTAACTATTGAAAGTTGTATTATACGACAACAACTCGACAAAATAAGTGTATTAATAAAGCAATATTTATAATTATTGTGAATTAAATTTCTTTTGAATCATCTAGTTTTGTGTGTTGTTTTAAATTCAGACCAGTATGCTTAAAGCAAATTCCTATTATCACACAACACACTATAGATTGTGGATATTTATGAATGAAAATCTATTAGCTGTTCGTAGTATGAAGATCCAACTTTGGTGGCATGATTGCTATCGTTTTGACAATTTCTTTTCATTTCTTAATATATAAACAGTTCAGATGGCACAAACGTCCGGAAAGTTATGTGAAATTCTGTTTAACAAATCCATTGATAATTTGGAATTCCTATTAATTATTTGAATCTGTATCGAAAATATAACTCTTATTAAACAGAGAAATCACGTTGTCTACTTAATATTTTTCAAAAAGTTTCTGTTAAGTTTATATTTGTAATAAGTCATTGCGTAAAAAGAATTATTATAATCAAAATATATTTATCAAATATAAAACACAGATAGAAAACTACATTGCAAGATAATGTATTCCTGTTACGATCGTATAATATCTTTGTATACATATATCGATGGAATATTTGCATTGAATACGAGAATGTGTATTGAAATATGTCAACAAAAGAATCTTGTCCGTTTGAGTTCAAACAAACGATATATTGTGAGTAAAGAAATCTATGTCTTGAAACTAAATCTATATTAATTTAAGGAAATGGAAATATAAGAAAAGTTATATTTATTATTTCTTTGGTGTGAAAAAATTAAATAAAAAGGCTAAGCAATGGCAACATCGACTAAATAAGTGTCTCGTACTGATATGTAGAAGTGAAGGTTATCTGAGATCATTATCTGTTATATTACTTGACAATTCACTTACACAAATAATTTGATATTTCCTTCTAATAATAATAATAATGATGACTTACTTGATCGATTTTCGGCTCGCATTCCTCACTATTGATGCTGGGGACGTGTGATTTTTCATTTAATGATTGAAGAGACATAGACATTGAGCCTCTGCGTTGTAAAGAATCGTTCTGACGTTTGAACATCTCAGTCGTATTCCTAACGAAACTGTCCATTTTCTTTCTAAAGAACGAAACTTTTCGTTCCAGTGGCGATTTACCTAGTGAATGCAAATCCAACTCGGACTGCGAGAAACCTTGCCGTCGAGATAATATAGATTGATCTAAAGATAATTTTCTATCCAACAATTTTTCAGGTCTAATTTTTGGTTTTGTATATACATCGTTAACAACTATATTACTATTTTCATTATTTACGTCAACATCGTCTTGCTTATCTTCTTTGGATATTAAATCTTGCTTATCCCCATTACTGTCTTGCACCAAAGTAACCTCTTCATTTTCTTTTTCTAAATCCACCACTTCAGTATCAGGTTCAGAATTTTTTATCAAACAGTCCTCTGAATCCTCATATTCTTTATTCTTTTCTAATTCAGAAACTACTACATCTGGATTACAGGCGCTCAATGGTTCGTTTGAATGGTTTGTTTGAAACTCTTCAGGACAATCGTCATCATTGAAGTCTTTGTTCGACATAATTTTACTTCCCGGTGGTCCTTTCAGTCTCATACTGCTGTTCATTTTGACAGTTCTGAGTATTTCTTTTATTTTAAGATTTTCCTTAATGCTCTTGACATCCGTTATGAACACATATTTCTCTTTGGGCGTACTCTTCACTTGTTTATCTTTTTTTATTCTCTGTTTCAATCTATCCATAGTGAGTGATCACGATAATTAAAACAAATGCTGCCTCTATTCAGGCCACAACACACGTAACTATTTCACATGTCTATTATAAAGTTTATCAGGTGTGAGCGGGCGTCACACCTGTATAAATCGTATAATCGTAGTGAAGGTATGGGTGACGATAAGACATTATCGGCGAACCTAATTTGGTGTAACATTAAACTATGCCGTGGAATATTTTGCAGGAAAAAAATTACATTGTAAATAACACGAAATTCTCTTCCTTCTATTATTGTTCTAATTTAAAGATTTTAATTCACATATTACAAGAATTAATTGTACGATTTTATCAATAAGTTCGAGATATCTATGATAAAATGTGACGAATTGCCCTCAATAGTTATAATCACATTAATATGTTATTTACGTTGTAAATTTTAATAATAAAAACTGTTTTCAAATTAATTTTTCACATACGTGATTGGACAAATATTTGTCTTATCATTGTTTACCAGTCAGAAGTCAAACACGATAAGGTAACATCTACTCTTGTACTTCCACATCTGTAGTACATATTATATTTATAAAAACTATTTTTTCACTGATTTTCTAATATTTCTGTCATTTTTTGATACAAATGGAACATTCTTTTATAAGCTATTCCCATAAATAGGTGTATCAAAAAACTAATATTTTAACATATTTGTTCTTTTTGTATTTAGATATAATATTGTATTGTTAATTATTGAAAACTTCGTGTCTTTGAAGCTGATAAGAGCAATCCTTATCAATGGTTGTTTAAAGATAATTTGTTATACATTCACTTAAACATAACATTAAATATAAAGGTGAGTAAAAATATTTGTTGCATTCAAAATATAACCATTCCGGAACAATAACTCTTTCTGTTATACGAAGAAATTTTAACAAAAAGTCTACTAAAAGAATACTACAGATTTAAAAAGTCAACATTACCGTAACAAGTACATATAATCGGATTCTCATATAAAAATATCATTACTAAAGACTTAAATCGACTATATTGAAAACAATTTTTCAATGAAACCACAAAATATATAAAAATTTTATTAAAATCTAATAACCATCAAAATAGACAATAAAATTTAAGCAGTAGAAAGTGATTGAATAAATCTATATAAATGTTTATTATATATATATATATATATATATATATGATTATATATGTATATATGTCATTATATAGTTATTTCTTCGCTGGTATGTCTGGTACATCAAACTCGCTGACCTGAGCATCCACCAACTGTTTGCTTCTTAGTTTTATAATCGCGTGACTCGGTACATTAGGATCTTCCATTTCAAATTCAATGAGACCTGTGAAAATATTATGTTTTTTAGTAAAATTTATTTATTATGGGAAAGGTTTTTAAATCATCATTTTTTTTATGTAAAAAGTGGCAAACGACCAGACGGCCCACTTGATGGTCAGTAGTGACCGTCGCCCATGGACATCCACAACATAGATGTTGCGGATGCGTTGCCAACCTTACTTGGGGAGGAAAAGGGAGGGGTAGGAATGAGGAAATACAAGGAAAGGTTGGGAACAGGGAAAAGGCAAGCGGCTCTCTCAGTCAACCGACGAAACGCAGTCATTATTGACTACTTCACGCCGATCTTCTGTGAGAGGGTGGTACTTCCCCGGTCGAGCCTGCCCATATTCGAGCTGAAGTAACTAAACTACAGCTAACTCTACCACCTATAAAATATAATAATGTATATTAATTTGAAATATTAGAAAGAAATTTCAATTTTAAACCTGTCTCCGATTTTGAAGCGGTTTTGTTTCGTTTTAAATCTATTTCTTAGATTACTCCTTATTTTAATAATGACGGCATTTATTATATGTAAATTGAAAAGCTTGTGATTAAAATGTTTGAAGTCAAAAAACGCGGTTATTTACTAAAATACTTTAATGTTTTAGAACATCTATTACTTCTGCTTCTACCTGGCAATTTCCCAGCTTTAGCCAGGTTCTGCCTTACATGTTGTGAATAGTTTAGGCTAATTGTTTTTACGACCTGCCTGGACATCAACCCTCTTTGGGAATGCATTAATCAGTAACGTCTAAATACTCTTAGAAAGTACATATGACTTGGAGGAATCACATTGTTACTTGCCATAAAAATATTGGAAGATAATTATTAAAATTATTTACCTATAGCTTAAGTCTTAAACAAAGAACATTCCTAGCTAGCTCGTTGTATCTCTGTAAACTATTGATAATAACTGCTTTCAAGAAAATATGCTTACAGAATTCTTGAGATTGTAATTCTGTTGGGAGTTTACGCTAGGAATCTAGGAATTTTTTGACTCTTTGAGCATCTATTACTATCTAGTGGAAACATATAATAATAAAAAAAACACTCTACTATCTCTACCTCTAGTTATCAAACAAGATTTGTATGTATATCAACTTAAATTAGTTCAAATACCACATTAGCATCGTAAACCTAGACCAAGTTGATGCAATATATATTGTTATCATAACTGTATTAAAGAAAAATATCCCGGCTGCGTGAAGATCGCGCCTTTAAACTCCTGGAATATTAAAATTGAAATAAATTGCTTATTTTTCATCATAATATTAAAATCGTTCTTAAAAACAGTTTACACGATCTCATAACTCGAATCTCACTATCTCCATTTTTTAATTAGAATTCATTTTATTATCGCTGCGAGATTTTTTGCATTGGAATATTCTCGTGTTTGAAATAACATGCAATTTAATTTAAATTATTAATATCATGTATAAAGTACAAGTAATCTAATGTTTTTATTAAAATAAAATTGTAAGGAAATCCTAAAGCTAATTCATAAGTTTTATAGTCGCCACCGACTGCTTATATATACAGGGTGACTGGTGAATTACTATCAATATTTTAGGAGAATACTCGGTACATGATTCTCATTCGAATTATGTAAAAAAAATAGGCACTTAATTTTTTACAAAATTTCCGTACAAATAAATAAAGTGTTGACACGCTCCAAGTGTTCCAAGTGTGGACGCGCGCGGCGGCGTGCTGATACAACATCACGTCGACGCACTCGTATGTGTGAGTGTGTGTGTATACCTAATCTGTAGGGTGTTCACACGATGCGTAATTAATTACATAACTTTTGGTTAACTTTACTTAGAAGTTTATTAATATTTATGTTATATTAATTTTTATTTTGTCATATATGATCGTCAAATATCACGTCCTCAAGTATCGATAGTAATTCACCAGTCACCCTGTATATCGGCGCTATCAGCTTTAATAACGGATGCGACTTGAAAATAATTTAAGGCTGTCATCAATTATTATTAAACCTCATTAGTATTTATGATTATTGTTAAAAGTAAAACGAAATGAAAGGAGAATAGAACTATGTTTAAATCTTGTTATAAATATGACGTCTGGACGCACGACGGCAGACTCCAAAATTGAGAATTCAGAGTTCAGTGAGTGCGTATCATTGAAGTATGTGATTATGAAGAACCTTCGAGAAATACAGGAGCATTAAGAACAATTGAAGTTTCATTTTAAAATATCATGGACCGTTCTAGAAGAAGTGACATTAGTAATGTCAGCGAGGCTGGCGTCCCTCTCTTATAAAACAATGAATCTGTAATAAATCCGATATATAAATTTTAGACTGCTTTATTTACTATGAAATAATCACGTTGATTAACTGTCCAGTATATTTTTTACATTTTATTACTACCCCTTTATATTCTTTTGCAACGTGAAGTCGCTACAAAGCTATTTACTCCGCGATTTTATCTGACTGAGTTCGGAGGGAAACGAAATTCTGAAACGGTTTATTTTCTACAATATATCGTTGGAATCGAGATTCAATTTGTCATAAACCAGCTCTTTGAAGAATATTTATTTAGAACTAGGTATTTTACAGTTTAAACTATTTATATACATTGATATATTATGTATGTAACTCAAATTAGTTTTAAATTATAGTAACAAACAAATGTATTTAAAAGTTTAAAACACGAAGATAACAAACACTACACTTGTGTCAATACGATTTAAATTTAACTTTAACTAAGCATTTAAATTTAAATTTTTATAAACAATTTTATTTTATCTCTAGTCTATATTCGGATTCCGATGTTTGGAACATCTATACGGATAGTTTTCGACTCAAACCGCGTTCGTAAATGCATCAATGAACTTACTTCATCTTGAAAATTCTTTAACCATAATGTCGTAGAGATATAAATTCCATCGGCGGTCTCCCGTGTTATACAAGCATCGGTTAACAAATTCTATGACATTTTTATGAAATATATTCCTTATAAAACATATATTAAAATATGTAGAAATGAAATAAATGCATCCATTTCTAGTGCACCTCATTCTGGTCTAGTAAAGCCGATACTTAATTTTACTGTGATTTGAAAATTGTCTTCTGAAATATTCCTTATAGAAAAACTTAGATAATATTTAACATTTAAAAGACTGGATTGCTTGGGTAATGGCGTATTTTAATTACATATACGTCATGTAATCTTAATAAAAATTCCTCTTTATTGACAGTACGTAAAGTTTTTGTGATATCAGTAAAGAATATGGTAGTACGAACATGTTTTAAGAAACTTGCACATTATGCAGTTGAATTATACTTAATACCGGGAATAACTCTCGGAGTGACAAAAAAGGGTAGATTGGGAGTTAAAAGAGAATATTTAAATAAAAATAATGCCGAACAATAGAATTGTATGTATTTTCTCATTGCTACAATCTGCTCTGAAAATGACATTATTTTTTTGGGCCTGAATTAAGCAGTTAATTATGCTTCTTCGATTAAAAACAATGACATACGGTATCTTCAAATACTGTCAATTTTAAGTCTGTTAAAAATCATGTTACTCTTTATAAAACTGATCACAGGTAAACAACAAAAGTTTCAGTAATATTTTTCACTCATAAAAGTAAAATAAAATTTAGTCTTTGTGATGACTAATATTGTCTACGGATCAATTTCTTTTTAGTTAGTTATAAGTTACGAGTATAGCTTACTTAGACAACTTTTGTTACTATATCTGTTTTAAAAGGACTCTCTATATTATTAAAAACACATAAGCAAAAATTACAAACTTTTAATGGTAAATAAAAGTATTGTTACCGGATTATTAGGCGTTACTTTTTTATTTTACACTACATAGTCCCGACGTTTCGTTTTCGTTTTTTGCAGCAACCGGTATCACGGGCAGGCGAGATTTATATTTGAATAATCGCGAAAGTCTTAGATCTCATTGTGAACTCTTATGAACGTAACTATCTTCTAATGTATTTTCTCAATTCCAATAACTAATTTATTTGGGTGTGGTCCTAATCTAGAACAATACACAACACTACTGAACTACTATACATAAAAATTCCGGATTTTCATTTCTGAGAATCTTTCCCTTTACAATAAATAAAAGTTTAAAAAAAAAACTAAAAAAACACGCTTTTATAGCTAACTAAACTAAAAAATATAAAATAATTTTCAATTACAAAGAAATTCAGATTAAAAAGGGTGGGATACTTGATATTGAATGAGAACAAAGATATGAATTGAACAAGAATAGTTTATATGTACTAATATTTGCCTCCTCTCTATGATACCAAATCAAAGAGTTAGTATATCACCGCCACAGAGTTTCCTCTACTAGTAAAATAACATCTAAACTCCAGATGATATTAGTTTCAACAATAAACAAACTTCAAACAATCTCATATATGGCGGATATTGCAACATACGTAATTTAAATAATAAAGTAAAAGTTCCTCAATGCAACTATTGAAATTATGAGAGAAATCACAAAGAAATTGACGGGTTTTTTCATTTAACTTAACGAATGTCATTTTAAGATTTGACATTCAGAGCTATTGAAGAAAATTGCTTTCGTTTATTCATATTCTCAAATGTATCTATACTATAGAAATAAAATATATAATATTGCTCATATAAAGTAACACAGAAACAATGAATAATATGCATCCATCGCGTCCCTGTGGCGGCTTTGTTGCTAGAAGATATATTTGTTTTCAAATTTTCCAATGAATATTGAATGAGTATTGTCGCATTGACTTTTAGTCTAAACCGTCTGTGCTTCGTTCAGACGTTATAAACTTCTCCCTACCAGCCATACCTTACACTGTACATGCACGTTTTATACCTAGGAACAAATGCATCATCAAAAATGTAGGATTTAATTTAAAATTTTACAGACTTTCGCAGACTTTCCCACAAGACTCAACTTCAATTAACTTACTTTAACGCATCCAATATTGAGAGTGACTTTGAAGATGGTTTATAATATTATAATGGCTATAAAAGTATGATAAATTTTCCTTGATTCTTTTTAAATATTCCGTTCAATACAATGCATAAACTTTGATAAGGTTAGGGCTATCGGTTAGACTTTGTATTCACAGCCATCTCTAATGTATATGAATAATTATAAATAAATTGACCTTTTTATATCGATAAAATTTTGTATTTTATCGATAAAAATTAAACGAAAACTCGGAAGCGACTTTTGCAGTCTCCTCTATGTTCTGAAATCGTGGAAATGTATAAAAAGGCGTACATGTTTGTCAACCCAACGTTCTTTTATTTATTTAGACATTTTGTGACTTTCATATATGTAAATTTTTAAATTTTAATAACTTTATATTTCTGTGAATCCTCGTTTCTGTTTGTTACTTCAATATTAAAGTTAAGTTTCCAGTTATCACAATATTTCCGAGAAGTAAAATATATTTCCAACATTTATCATATACACCAAACGGAAAATGATACATTTATTTCGTAAGTCAAAATTAGTATTAAAATTTTTAAACGGAATTTACTTAATATTTCGCATATCGTAAACATTTTATATAGTGTAAAAAGCGGACTTATATCTTTTCAAGACTTATTGTTTTTTATTCAACTTATTTAATATTGTTTTTACACTACATTATTGCTTATTAGTCAGTCAGTAGTCAGTGGTGGCGTAGTGGTTAAAAGGCCCGCCTCTCATACTCGAGGGCGCGGGTTCAATCCTGGCCCGGGCAAGTACCAATGTGGTTTTTCCAAGTCATATGTACTTTCTAAGAGTATTTAGACATCACTGATAAATGCATTCTCAAAAGAGGGTGGATGTCAGACAGGCGGCCGGTCGTTAAAACAAATAGCCAAAACTATTCACAACGTGTAAGGCAGACCCTGGCTATAGCTGGGAAATTGTCAGGTAGAAGAAGAAGAAGATTACAGCTTATTAATAAAATTTATAAAAAGCATATCGTTATACAAACAAAATCTTTGTAATTTTAGATACGATTGGCATAAAGTGTAGTACATATATTCATTAAGTGTTGTTGGAATCTCTTGCTTAGTTCACGACAGTTAAACACAAATCTCTGCCTTATACTGTCGGAGTTCCAGTGTTAATACTATACTGGTCATGTTTATTTAGTGTGTTTCCATCCGTGCAGTCTAAATACACTCAACTTGCTACTTTGCCCGCTCTTGATTCACAGACACAAAGATAATTAAACGTTTTGATTCATAACTAGCTGACCCGGCAGACTTCGTAGTACCTTAATCAGTAAATCAATATTTTTTGATTACTATTTTTGGACTTTACCTATAAGTCATAGATCTCCGTGTTCTAAAGTGCGACAGAATGATTGACATATTAGTCAGTTGTCAAATGTAATGTAAAAAAAACGTTTGTATGGGAAATAAAAAAGGGCTGTTTAGGGTTTTCCCGGAAATTTATCATTTTTTTTCAGCTTTTAAACCTTCCCTGAACCTCCAAGAACATTTCAAAACTAAGATAATATAGCCGTTCTCGAGTTTTAGTGAAACTAACGAACAGCAATTCATTTATATATGTCTGTATATATATAGATTACTACGTCTGTGACAGATACATTAATACGGACTTTTAATACACGTCAATATATATATACTAAATCTTGCCCGCGATTTCGGCCGCGTTATTTTCGTAATTAATAATATGTATAGCTGACATGGCGAACTCTATTTCGCCTTAAAGGCCATAAATAACCAGTTATTGGTATTTATTCAGTTTTATCCTATGTCCGTCCTGGTTCTAATCTATCTCCAGACGAATTTTCAACCATATCCCTACAGCCGTTCTTGAGTTATGAATAGTGTAACTAACACGACTTTCTTTTATATATATTCCAATAGTTTTAGAGTTAAATTTCAAGTGATATGAGTATAGCGTTATAGTCAGTGGTGGCCTAGTGGTTAAAGACCCCGCCTCTCGTTGCCGAGGACGCGGGCAAGTACCAATGTGATTTTTCCGAGTCAAAAGTACTTTCTAAGACTATTTAGACATCACTGATTAATGTTGATTCCCAAAAGAGGGTTGATGTCAGGCAGGCGGCCGGTCGTAAAAACAAATAGCCAAAACTATTCAAAAAAATGTAAGGCAGACCCTGGCTATAGCTGGGAAATTGCCAGGTAGAAAAAGAAGATGAGTATATCGTTACCTCCTTCAGCCACGACCTCCTCCTTGTAATTGTCCCTCATGAACCTGGCCAGTATGTTGTGATAGAACAGCCTCGCTGTAGCGCGGATCTCCTCCGTCACTTCCATCTTTGAAACAGCTTGCATCAGCATGTTCAGCTTTTGACGAGCGTTCAATAATAGCTTGTCAACTGTCGATATAAATTATATATAGTGTATAGTCTAAGAGACGGTGTGAGATTTTTTTATTAAATATATCAGTGTATAGTCTAGGAGACAATGTACTAAAAAAATATATGTTAAATAAGTCAGTACATAGTCTAAGAGACGGTGTTTAAAAAAATATAAATTATATACATTAGTTTAGCCTAGGACACGGTTTTCCAAAAATTATATATTATATACCAGTATATAGTCTAGGACATGGTGTTCCCAAAAATTTAATATAAAATATATTAATATATAGTCTAAGAGACGGTGTTAAAAAACCATATATTAAATATATCAGTACATAGTCTAAGAGATGACGTCCTAAAAAAAACATATTTTAAATTTATCAGTACATAGTCTAGGAGACAGTGTTTCAAGCTTGGAATGCAAAAATTAATGTCCCATCAAGATGAATATATATGTATTTTATATACGTACAGTCAGCTTCTACTTCGGGTACTGGCTGAGTCATGTCCTCAATAGCATATTGTATAGCCGACGGTGCTCCGAGAAGCATTGGTCTAGGAGCGTTCGGTGCGCCTAAAGATATTTAATAGAAATAAATAAAATTATCATAGGTTTAAATAAATTAAACAATCCATAGTGATTTAAAACTCAGTTACAAATGAGTTAAGGTCGAAATTATTTATTTTTCTAAGAAATTGTGTGAAAAAATTAAAAAAAAACTATTATTTTACATGAAACGTGAATGGGTTCATTTTTTTAATTTTTAAACAGAATAATTTCTTTGTACATTTTTATTATCAAAATTTAAACAAAAAGAATATAATTTCACATTAAGATACTTATATTTATGTAGATACCTCTATATTACTTTAAGTAAATCATGCTCCTTTCTTCGATATAATCATCTATTTAAATACATATACATATATAGTAAAGTTTATAATAATTAATAATAAACACATATAATAATTTTATCATCAAACTATCAATCAAATTATGTGCTAATGATGACTAATTGTAATTCCATTTCGAGTACACAATGTTATGTGAGGGCTGAGGGGTAAATTGTCAAAGTTCAAAGGTATTAATTAATCAATGGACTATGGCATTTCGGTTCCCAGTATTAAATATTTAGCGTTAGTTAAACCATCATAACTAACATTCATTTTAACTACAGTTAAACTAACTGAATAGTTGACGTATTTATTTTTAACGACAATTTAAAAAGTATGTTCTATTATTTAACGATAACATATACGCTGCATAAAGAAACTATATTAGATTCTCTTTCAGATTCAAAAAAGGTTTTATTACAAAAAAATATAATAACATAAAAAATCATGGCTGAAAACAAATGTCGATTGCAGAATAATTTTATGAAAAAAAAAATCATCTGTCAAAATAAAAGCGCAGACAATCAAACGTCATACTGGATATATCATATTCAATATTACACAGGCGTTTGTCGACGCTGGTTTATACATATATGTGTAAATAGGATGGCATGTTCGGTATCCTTTGTGTATTACTGTTCTGTAATTTAGGGGCTATGTTCAAGGTAAATCAAAACGTAAATTCCTGGCGTTCGTCGAAACCGCGTCAATCTGATTATAGATAGCCGGCTCTTAATTAATTGCAATTATTTATTCTATATATGAACATTGATTTCGAATTTGGAACTGCTTAAATTTGGACTGCAATTTCGAATTTGGTACTTAGCTTACATTAGGATTGTCATTTCAAATTTGGAATTGCTAAAAATTCGGATCGCAATTTCAAATTTGGAACTGCTTAAGTTTGGATTGCAATTTCAGACTTGCAACTTTGCTTACATTTGATTGTCATTTTAAATTTCGAACTTTTCTTACATTTGATTGGTCATTTTAAATTTCGAACTTTTCTTACATTTGATTGTCATTTTAATTTTCGAACTTCACTTACCGACGCTTGATAATAGCTGATTTATTTGTTGCAGTGACGTCTTCATTTCTATTATAAGATGACCTCTTTCGTTGAGAGCGTTCGTTATGTCCCTCTCTTCGCGCGCCTCCGCATCGAATTCGGCACGAAGTTGCTTTTTCTCTTGTATGTGTCTGTTTGAAGGAGGAATTTATCATTAAATAATATAAAAAATTCATGTATTTTTTACCAACTTTCATATTGAAATTATTACAAGTAGAGATCTTAAGAAGATTGAAACATGTATTGGTTAATTATTATTTAATGTTTAGACTTCGAGACGATAAAGCCTAGCAATGATATTTATATATCTCTATGAAAATATTACCAACTAATTAATGATATACGTGGGTTTAAATCCTCAAGTACCTTTTTAACTTTTTACAATGGTAAGAATACGTATCCTTACTCTACACGAGACCTAATATTAGCTACGTAGACATCTACGAGCGAGCCAGACAGCGTAGCGTCTACGGCGTAGCGCTACGACGGTGAGTGACTATTATAGTTCATTCGGCGAATATGTGTGACTACGAAATGTGATTGATGGCGGACTTGTTGAATTACATAAAAATGCATTAAAAAAATGCTTACGTAAAAGTATGGTGTGTGGATACATGTAATATTATTCTAATATTTTATTAAAATTATATGATTAATTAATTATTAATTAAAAAATTATATGATTAATTAATTAATTAATATTAATTAATTATTATATATATTAATAATAACATTATAGACTCCCAAGTTATGTACCATCTGTAATCTACCAGTGAAGGTCTTGTCCAAATCGTCTCATCTGTTTCTGAGATTAGCAGGAATAAACAAATAGATGGACAAACAAAAATTTGATATTTTATGCATTTCTATGAACGCAGATTTATAGAGAATTTATATTACATAATATTTAAAAGTAGTTGTGTTTCTGATAAATTAATTTACAATGCGACATCAAATTATTAGAAGAGACGAAACATAAAGAAAAATACAAATAAAATATCAATAGCGCACATATATCAACTCTCAATTAGTTTAAAAGGGAAGCTTATCTGAGTCATCTGAAAAATAAAAAAACAAATACAGTTATTATTATAATTTTCCATACATTTTCTCATTTTCATTACGTTACATGCATTTTTTTAAAGCTTTGAATAAGCCAGCTACAATCTCTTAATTAATTAACAAAATGTCGCGCTCTCTAGACTAGAAATAAGCGTCAAAGAAAAATTCTAACGTCCGTGAGACCTAATGAGGTTTTAATGTAATGGAAAATGTTAATATTATTAAAAAATATATTAAGCACAAAGATCAAGGTAGAAAACGGATTTAATATTACGTTATCTCAAAGACAAAAATCTATATATATAAAAGAAAGTCGTGTTAGTTACACTATTTATAACTCAAGAACGACTGTTGGGATATGGATGAAATTTGGGGACATAGATTAGAAGAAGGTGACGGACATATGATATTTAATTCTGTTTGATTGAAAAAGAAAAAAAATGATAAATTCCAATATCTAGAATAGAATTTACTCGGTTAACTATACATATATTATTACTACAAAATTAACGCGAACAAAGTCGCTGGCAAAAACTAGTTAATTATTATACAAAATTGAAGCCATAATATTAATTAATAATAATAAAATTCATCAATATTATTATAAATTAAATTATACCAACAAAATTTCATTACCGTAGCATTGTCACCGCAGTAATGAAGGCCTTGTCCGGCTAAAATTGAAGCCTTCTCAATATAGTTATACGGCTAACTGAATTATCGATACACGGAAACGACAGATAATAAAAAATAATTAAAATATACATTTACATATTAAAACTTAATAAATTATATTATGGAAGACAATAAATTTGTAAAAAAGTTAATATATGTGACTAAATAATTTTTAAAAAACTACAGTCTTATGAAATGAATTGAGTAACATTTACATCATCTGCAACAACGTAACGATTTATTGTTTTCTTCACCGTCTGTCAGTGGTGTCTAAATACTAAAAGAAAGTACATATGACTCGGAAAAATCACATTGGTACTTGTCAGGATCGAACCCGCGCCCTCGTATACAAGAGGCGGGGCTTTAACCACTAGGCCATCACTTATTGACCTATAATACACAATGTTTTATATAAATATACTAGAAGACCCGGCGAACTTCGTATCGCCCTATAATCAAGAAATATCTGTTTCTTTTTTTTATTTATATTTTTGGAGTTTACCTATTAAAGCCATAAATCTCCGTGTTTTGAAGTGCGACAGAAAGATTGACATATTAGTCAGTTGTCAAATCTAATGTCAAAAAAAACGTTTGTATCAACAACTACTAATAAATTAAAAATTAATTAAAAAACATTGTCCAGCGGACGATGTTGTAAATCTAAACAATTCTCAGATCCCCTTGAACACACACAAAAAATTTCACCAAAATCGTTCCAGTCGTTTGAGAGAAGTTCAGTGACATACACACTCACAGAAGAATTATATATGTATATATAAAGATATATGAAAACTTACATGCCTTTGAATAATACTAAAGCCATTAACTTAAAACGTCCATTGAATGCATTAATTAAAAAAAGCATATGTACATTTATATATGGAAATGTACATACATATATACATAGGTGCGTGCATTACCACGGAATGCAATACACACATTTCGCACTCTATTCAAGATTTGCACTCGTGTATGAAAACGAATTTCTTTTCATCACTAACACAACTCGGCCTGAATTCTTGAGCGCACTCAATGATTTTCGCCTAGAAATCTAGTTTACGATTCCAAACAAGTTTTATTCGACTTAAAAAAAATGTAAACAGGTAATAATGATTCGGTTTAATATTTCTTTGTGTGTTTTTATATAAAGTTTTTTTATAAAAAAAAGACTAATGATAAATACTTGTATATTTTTATGCATTATTGGAAATTTTAGTTCGTATCTTTGGTTTGCATCATGGGGCATTCAATTTAATCCGTAATTGCAATCCCTGCTCAGGCTGTGAAGGGTATCGATCTAGTCCTCCCGCCTTACTACGTGTTTATAACTTTAAACTAAACATATTTACAGATAGTCACCGACAATAGTTACGTAAATAAAGCAGTCGAAACTATAATCATTATCGTATTTTTATAATGATACTAGTTTTTGCCCGCGACTTCGTCCGCGTTAGTTTCGTCCTAAGTAATATATGTATAGCTGACCGGGCGAACTCTATTCCGTTTTAGAGGCCATTAATCATCAGGTTTCTCCTGTTTCAATCGAACAGAATGATTGACATATTAGTTAGTTGTCAAATCTAATGTCAAAGAAAACGTTTGTATGGGAAATAGAAAAGGGCTGTTTTTAGGGTTTTCCCGGAAATGAATCAATTTTTTTCAGCTTTTATACCTTCCCTGAACCTCCACGAACATTTCAAGACTAATATAAGATAAATCCGTTCAGCTGTTCTCGAGTTTTAGCGAGACTAAGGAACAGCAATCCATTTTTATATATATAGAAGAAGAAGATAATACGAGCACTCAGGTTTATAAAGCCAATGAATAATATATAAAAAAGTTTCACACAAAATAGTTTTTATATAAAATTTTTAATTCTGCATCGTGGATCAATGCAATTAACGAAACTTTGTAGCTATCATAGTCGAATATAACGACATTAAACCACAACGCAGCCCCACATCACCGGCGGGGAATAGAATTATCTGTAAGCGGAAATATTCATGAGATGGTGCTGGAAAAAAAACAAGCTGCTCGCACCGAGTGCTGTAATACTATTAGAAGCCATTAAGGCAATCAACTCAACATTTAAGCACTCCTTTTCAAGTGCCCATCACTTCATTTAGTAACTGAGACTTACGAATTATAGATCGTGACTAATTTATTATTTACAAATTATATGAAAACCTTTGTTTTCACAAAATAAAATAATAATAACGCATAATGAATATAAAACCTCTTTGATTTTAAAATATTTTTCAATAAAACATTAATATTTAAAAAAAAATCATCGCGTAATCAAGGTACATTGTATGAAAACATTCATTCATTATAATACACGTATTATAAAAACATTTTCGACTTTATTTTCAATACGAGATACTTGTTAATAAGTAATTATTTGTTTTAAATACTGTATTTAATTAATATACCAAATAGTAATGTAACATACATTTCGTTGTTCTCAATAAAGCTAAAAGCCGAGCGGATTAATTCGCTAAAAGCAGGAATCAGTTGTTGCTATTTTAAAAATCAATGCTCAGCACAATATTAAAACGGTAACACTTTATTGATACCTTCAATACAGCGTCTGGCTATTTATGATAGTTTGCTATTATTTGTACTTCAAACAGTTGTTTGTCGTAGAATTATTTTTTTAATATAATACGTTGATATTTTCTTAATAACAAAAAATGTACCAACTATTGTTCTATAATCAATTTATCGTACTGACGAAAGCTTGATGATAATACAAAGGGCATAATCGGATAAATATGGGAAATCTGCCTCATGGCTTTTTTGATCCACACCCACACCACACACAATAATATGACTTTATGAATTCTATTTTTCTATATTTAAAAGAAAGTTATGCAAGTTATTTATAACAATATTTTATAATCTGGTTATTTACGGCCTCTAGAGCGGAATAGAGTTCACCCAGTCAGTTTTACATATATTTATTACTAATTCAAAAATTAACGCGGACGAAATCGCTTGGAAAAACTATTAAACAATAAAAAGTATAACTATGTATTTTAGTTTCGATTTATTTACAATTTGTATTATAAGAAGTATATTTAAGAAGTGAGCAGAGTATCAGTACTAATACGTAGATGACAAAACAATGTTTTTCAATTATATAGAGATGATAAATGAAATTATTTGAGATCAATTGTACGTTAAGAAATAAACAATAAATGCAAGTAAATTAACTTAAAAACAAAAGAATTTGTATAGCCGGCTTTAAAATATATATATAATCGTCACAAAAGTCCCTTAAAATTTGACAATGTTTAAGTTTATTTAGTTAAAATCTTGCTATCAAATTAGATCAAGCTCCGTCTTTGTTGTCGAGTTTAAATTTCATGTGTTGATTCTGTTAACAGAATGC